CCAGCCGAGTGGAGCTGGTATTGCCAAAATTTTAATTTGTCATGCTTAACTTGCAGTTTTTGAATAAAAGAAAATTCGGCCTTCTCGTCTTCCCATCCACGTAATATTGCTGCAACCTGTTGTTGCTTCGTCATGTCCAGGGTCTTCACTGACGTGACAACCAGTGTTACTAGATCGCGATATTGTAGCAGCTCGTCAACCGTAAAAAGCACGTGGAGATCGTGTTGAATATCGAGATGCACCGTATAAGCTTTTAACGCTGCCCAAACCTCGTCTGGAGCACCAGTCCAAGTCTCTGGGTCCCATTGTCCATCCATAAATTCGTCCACCGCAGCCGAACACGTCACGAGGTGTTGTAAAGTTGTGGTGTCGGGTGTCACCAACGGTTCAGTGGCCTTTTTATTCGCCAGAATCGTTACTTGAGTCTCCTTACTGTCCACCTCATCTTCAAAGTCCGGAAGCTGACTGGTCCTACCAGTATGGAGAAGCGCCGAGTAATGGCGGCCCCAGAAATGCAGCAGAAGTGGTAGTTGTCCGGGATTCTCGATCTTTTCTGCCACCACTGCGTCAATCAAATTCTTCATTGACAGTGTATATTCCGCAGCTGTCTCAATAACTCGCCGATTTCGTGTGACCGTAGTCGGAATAAACTTCTTGCACCGCCATCCCGGTTTCGGGCCCTCTAACTGCTGTAGAACATAGATTTTTTTCTGCAGAAAATCGGCTGCCATGCCGACCGTATCACTTTCTCCCCAAGTGTCCTCACTAACTTCGACTGTTCTGTCGGAGGAACTGCTTGCAAAATCCTAAAGGTACCACCGCGTTTGAGTGGCCGACTCTTACCGGGTCATGGAGGGCCATCCTCTCTTGACATTTGCGAGCACATGTACTCTATGGTCATGTGCAAGTTGCCCTTCGAGATCAATCAGCCCTGTATATTTAATGCCTCGCTTTAGGCTGGCAGTAAGTAATTCAAGGGTTTTGTCTGGCCCATCCAAAGTTGCTTCTGCTGTCGCCTGCTCCAGCGCCATAGCCATACAGTTTCCGGTCGCAGGCGTGGCGACCGATCGGACTCCTAGTTGAAGTTCCACCTCTGCCAATGTAACTGGTGAAGATGTTGATCTAGCGCCCAATGGTAGCGCCGGAAGTTTCATGGACTCCGTTCCAGTGACTAGCTTGTAAAATGCCGTTGTCTCTTTCCGTTTATGCGTGAGGATAACGGGATCCGCTGCTATCGGTGCTGGACCGCGCAATGTCCCTGCCGATTGTCGGTGCTTTTCCTCAAATGTGAGAGGCAATTTTCCAGTGGGCCCATGCCCGTCCTGAGAGTTCTTTGTTAAATCGACCACGGTTTCTTGCACAAGCTGAGTCTCACTATTACTCTCTGGGTTAGCTTTACTTTCCAAATTGTGGTCGTCCTCCATGAGCACCTGGTATACTCCGGACGTGGATACAGAGGCCGCATTTGTAACCATTTGTTTATCCCACTGTGACCGTCCCCCTTTGTTTGACTTCGTTAGCCACGGTTGCTTGGGTGGAGGGGCCGGTTCCGGTTGAAGATGGATATACTTTGATCCTTGTTCGGCCTGAGGAGTGCTGCTGGTGATGTGGACCCCTGGTACCCCTGACGTAGACTCTGTAACGTCGGCGAACCGTGTTGGCGTTACTGCTGCCTGGACTGCCCCTCCGCCTCCATCTGGAGCTCAAGTCGTTGGGCCGCCATAGCATTATTTCTGCAAGACTGGAAAAAGCTTTTGCTAAATCTGCGAGATACTGAACGTCCTCTTCAGTCACCTCAATGCCTCCGGGACCCCGCAGTTGGTCTTCTGTGAATCGACAGCGAGCTAGGGTGTGACCTAGGTTACCACACTGCAGGCATTGAATGCGATGACCGACATTGGGGTGTTTGAAGATAATGGTTGTGCCATACCATAGTATTCTGACCACCCTATTTAAAAAATGTGGGACATCCTGCCAGATTGAAAGCGACCTTCCAAAATGTGGACGTCCGAGAATCCGGGGTATGAGTATACAAATTTTCCATATCGAAATCAGTCGGAATCTTCGCCTTCAAAAAAGCTGCAATGCGACCGATATCGTTGAATCGGGTAAGGTTGTGTAGCTGCACCGTGTATTCCACCCGTCGCCCGGTAGCTGTGCCATTAAGACCCTGCTGTCGGAGCCAAACCGATCCCTTCTCTGGCCTGTGGGCATTTTGAAGCCGATACACGCCTCCATAATACGGCACTCGCACCTCTTGGTGCTGTTCCGCCGTTTCCCTAGTAAAAAAGTAGAAATGGATTGACTTGGTTACTTGGTCATAGCTTATTGTCTTCGTCTGACTTAGCATTCGATGGAGTGCTTGAAGATTAATCCGAGCGAGTTCCGCCGATTCCAAAATTCCTTCCGTAATTGCTTTGGTAGTCTGCCTGCTCACCTTGACCACACGAGATTTATCCAAGTGTAAAATCAATTCACCTTCCACTTGAGCTTGGATGGTGCTATACAAACGTAGCCTCTTCTCACTCTTTAGAATATGCTTGAGAAAATCAGGTATGCGACGACACACCACCGTGCGATTATCGCCCATTCATCGTCGGTACCCTCCCGTACGTATTGTTGCCGTGCTGGGTATGCTGGTGCTGCGCACAGCGCTTTCAATCGTTCGATTTCTGCGCACGAAAACTTCGCGGGATCGAACATAAATTCTCAAAAGACTGAGTACCTGCGCGAACCGGTGGCCGACGTGATGACTACCCTCCACGTTGAACTACTTGAGTCCACTGATTTAGAACCGGAGCGTGGGCCCACTTGTGCCTGCTAGCTAGTCGTCGAACAATCTCCTTAAATGCCCATTTTGTGGCCAGCAGCTCATGCGTGATGGACTTCGCCATTATTTTCCATTCCACAAAACTTTCTTTACCCTCGACAAAAACTTGCTCAAACAGGCCTAATAAGCTAGCTGCCTCTGCCTCACTCAGGGTAGGAAAGCGTTTCCTCTCGGTAGGCAGTGCCTCTGATTTACACGGAATTGACGTGTAAACGTCCGCAAATAGCTTACGCACTGTCTGGCACCATGCGTCGACCTGTCCTACGTTAGGCGAGTAGATCATGTCTTCCACCAGTGCCGTGAACATATCTTCTGACGATGCGCGCAGCGGTACTGGCGACGGCGCGACTGGTGCTTTGCCGGTGTTGTGTGAGTTGGGGCAACAGCTTTACCAGCACTATCCATGGTACCACTAGCCCTCCGTGTAGCCGTCGACTGCATACTTGAACCGGGCGGACCCTCCGCTGCCACTGGCGCTTCTTGTTGAGCGTGACTGCTGCTCGACTCTTTTACCAAACGGGGCTTGGAGGTAGCTACACTGCTAGCTTTACCCTGTAACACTTGGTCCGTAGAGGATGATATCGAAGCCGCCAGGGTCTAAGGCACTACCCGTGATTGTAGCCATACTTTCTTGGTGGTTAGAGCTTTCATTCTCCATTATGTCAACGGAGCTCTGCCCGTTACCATGGCCATTCCCTGTCGATGTGGCCGAGCTGGCCGTGTCTATCCCTCCTTCCGGAGGAGGCAGGTGAAAAGGCATCATCGCTCTCGCTGTCGGTGACGTTTGAGCCAGTAAAGACCCGTTCCTTTTATACTTCACCGTGATCAGATGTAATCACTGCGCCGCAATTTGGGGAGTGAGGACAATTTTATAAGAAATAGTGATATTGTCATATATTATGAGCTATAATAATACAGTATTCTTATTGACACTTATTTTTTTAGTGTCAATATTATGTAACGGGCCTACCCCGTTCCAAATACTCCTCGCCAATGTATATTGTCTACTAGCTCGGCATTTTTATCGTCCTCAGCAAATAGGTCGATTAATAGACGCGGGATTAGGAGCATTATGTTGTACCATAATGTGCGACGGCTGCTTTCTTTTATTCTTCCTCTATTGCATAACTTTCGATCTATCGCTGAATACGTTACCGTCAAATGGCTACAGCAGAAAGGTTTTGTCTATGGAGATGTCCAAAGGAACAAGCCCGACTCGAACAGCTCGATTCACATCAGCAACTTATTAAACGCGTATCCTTAGTCGGTCTTCTAGCTACAATTGCTCGTGTGTTTATCAAAGTGACAGTTTGTATGTTAATCAGACTCTGCTAGCAATACGTAAAAGAAGAAGCACTTTAAGTTCTAAAAAAAGCAGAAACGGTCATGAATCTTACTCAACGACCAAGGATCATCTGGTGCTCCGCCGCCACAGTCGCAGGAGCGCACAAGAAAAGCTCTTCTAAGGAAATGTATACTTGCAAAACTTTAGGAATGGAAAACGTGGAGCGGTACAGAGAGACGCAGGCGCAAAGTCGTTTACCAACCAAACAATGCAGTGAACCCCGGATCCAAACACATTTTCGAGAACGAGACCTGCCTATTTTAACATTAACAACAGCATACTGTCATGCAAGAAGCGTGTACAAAATGAGATGTGGACGTGACAATCTGATGCTGCAGATCCCTCATACATCTCACATGTCTTTTTAAAGCAGTACATGCAAGAAGTCGTAGGCAGCACTACTTTCCGCATTTTGAACACAGCCTCCGTCAGCAGAGCCATCAGGTTATCACATGGCATGCATGCACTCCTTTGTCCATTCTTCCGTTTATCTTTCAGACATCGTCATAAATGGTTACGAAAAAGATCAAAAACCAAAGACGTACTGAACTGTATGATTTGAAGTACAACCAACTAAAAGACAAATAGTCAAGCACGCCGTCATGTCATCCCTTCACGGTTTGATGCAGTAATTGTCGAGCTAAACAGAAAAATAACAAAGCGCAATCATTTTATGACTTTTGATACCTTTCACGCGTAAACAAAAAGATGACGCATCATCTTGTATCATACTCACTTCACAACACCGTGATCGATCAATGGAAAAAAGCTTCCCTCTAAATGTTTTATTCCATGCTTTATCCAGCTGTATTATTATAAATGAAATCAGCGCTTCTTCGACTGTTCCTTAAGGGTGCTCAAATTAATACCCCACAATGCCACCAATCCAATGGGGAAGGCCAGCCAGGCCAATGTTGCAGATTGTGTCGGCAACTTCGAGTTGGCAGCACGAAATTGTTTTCTCTCAATAAGGTTTGTCGCTCTTCGTCCAATAGCAGATGGTGCTACATGGGAACGTTGTCGATGGAATTGGGCCGTTGTAAAACGTGCATAAGTGTTTAATCCGCCAAACATCTCGTGCACATCTTGGGAATTCATGGGTTTGTAACTGCCAGTAGGTTTCTCTCCCATTCGATGGTCGTAAGTGGGGGCAGAAGAGACACCAAACATTTCAACGTCATACTTGATACGAGATGACTCATCACTTAGTATATCGTATGCAGCGTTTATGTGCAATATCGCAGTGTTCTATTATGTCACCAGAAAAAGGACATTAGATTAGGACCAATTACACAAAAAATAGACGGCATACATTTCCATCGTTTTGTTGGACAGAGCTTTTGGTCTTGGCGTGATTGCGATCGGGGTGGTGCTCCAGTACTACACATACAATTGTCAGGACTAGAACAAGGAGTCAAATACTGGAAGAACCTAGAAACAGACCGAGCTTGCGATAGGCGAGTTTAATGTCGTCTGTGGATGCAGAGCGCTCGACGCCCAACACGTCGTAATAATTCGGCTGAAGGTGGGTTTTATCCATGGTGAAACTAAATATGACCTCACTTTTGTGACAGGAAGTAGATTCTTAAGATAGACAAGCTAAATTTAGAAATTTGAAGGAGTTTCAGCTGCACTATTTTTACATCTTTTACCTCCAAGAGATCGCAAATCGTTTCAAAATACAGGAATATGAAGAACCTGCACATTGATAAATTTGAGAGATTAGTTTTGGAAAGTTGCAACTACACGCGAAACTCTTCGTCCAAAGGATTATGCAAATGACGCTGTCACATCAAGTAACGGTTATTCAATGGATTCAGATAGAAAACAATACTTTACAAACCTTGAGATAAAACTCCAGCTGGTCCTTTGTCACGGATGTCGTGTCTTCTGACGATGCAAACGAAAAGCGCCTGGCGGGGCTGGTCGAGCTGACGGTAGAATGCGTGTCATCCGATGGTAGTTCTCGGTACTTTTCGTGATTGTCCAGACGGGCCCACATCATCATCTGCTTCTGGAACGCACTGAAACGTGAAGACGCAAGCGAAGGAGTCAGAGTTGCTGAACGAGGAGTTACAATGTCATGCCAGCATCGTACATGATCGACTCATCACTGTCTTCTCGGACAGTGTCGAATCCCTGAGACTGCAGTGGACGTCGATACGGCTGCTCCGACGGCAAAGGCAGTCGGTTGGCTTGTCCGAAGACTGGCTTTGCGCCTCTTGGAATAAATATGATCTATTGGATTTTCAGCCACCAATGCAGGATAAATAAGTACCGCATCAAGATGATATAAGACGTCTCTGATCTGACACGAGCAAGCGAGCAGCATGTAGTCGCACCTTTATGTCGTCAAAGTTCTCGTCTTCCACGCAGTACAGATTGACAGCAACGCAGTCTGGCTGTGTCTGATCGAATTGGAAGATGTGAATACCTGTTACACATCAACGCCGAAAGCCGAACATTGACAACTCCAGTCAGTCTCTAGCAAGTAGCCACCTTGTATCTCTGGGATTCCACCATTATCAACCTACCACATTTGGCGCAAAAGACATGTTGGCATGACGTAGCTTGACTCTCATACAATGACACATCCGATGACTCCATCATCTCAAAGCAAGACGTCGAGACAATCTAACCACCACCACTAAACGATCAGTCACCTTCACCCTCTCCCGTATCTCCACATTCACACCCACACACTTACCAGAAGCGGAAATCTTCCTTTTTTGCACGAAAACGTGTTACTATCATCAAACGCCTCGACTCTTTTTGGTGCAAGGACCATAAATCTATACATACATCATAAAACAACAACAAATATCAACCTACAACTTTCTTCTCTCTACAATTGCCAGTCGACAAAACAGGCACACAAATCCTCACCGCAGAGAACCACAATCGCAACCTCCTCGATGCTGGAATAATGGCAACTTGGGCATCCCATACTTTTTCCTACAAGAAAATAAAGATCGAAATCACAGCACAAATATTTCCAGGACAGATGCTTGTCAAAAGTCTGTCCGTCAATAAAGTCACTACCCCCACGCACTGATAATAGACGTCCTTTCCACCTCCATCCAAGTCACAACGTTCCCATTTGCCCTGATTGTCTCGTATACTTCGATACAATTCACGTAGCTGTATCACAAAAAAAATATCCGAAAAATATCCACTTCATACAAAATTTTATCCGACAAGTTACAATATCATTTCTCATCGTACCACGAGCAGCCCGACGCTTATAAATAGCGTTGAGAGACCACCTATAACTTGATCCACTTCACGCACCATTCCTTTGGTCATTGCAAAGACCACAAAAGTCTCACGCACAAAGAGAGGCCAAAGAAGTTTAATTACTGTCGGTCTGCACCGTCGCTTTGGATAATTGTGTATAGTGCCGTACTTAATGGAATTTGAACACCCACCCTTTTTATCGTATTTAAATCAACCTTTTTATATATTGTTTAAATTAGATTTTAACCCTTAACTGAATCGAAAGTGATAGTGATTCTGTTATCACCACCACGAGCTGATTCATCTGAGTAGACCAGTATCAATCAAAGAGATTTAAAGTTGCACGATCAACAGTTGTCAGCTAAGAAAATTGGGTCCAAATTAAATGGTGCGTTGCTTGATTTCTTACAGGTCAAGGTCCAAATGCTCGAAATTTTATCCGGAACCACACCAAGAATGGCCTCGGCTGTTCGTGTCTGAAATGCATTGCAAGTATCTTGAATACCAAAGCAAAAGGTAAAAGCTCAGCACTGTCTGTACCCAGGAATAGCATGAACGTCTAAAAATGAAGGTTACAATAGTAGAAGACGTGAACTTTTCAATGAAGACCCGGTCCAGGAGATCTTCCATGAACACGGAGAAGGTCATCGGTAGTGCAGTAAACTACGTGGTCCATTAACCGTAGATTGATACACATGAACAGCCGCAATCTACCATGATTGTCAAATTTGTGTCGTCAAACTTTTAGCCCTTCCATCTCACATGGTCATGAGGTTCTCCGTACCCACATCGCGACACGGAATTTGTGCCACCCTTTTTGTTTTGAGAGTTGTACAGAAGGTTGGACTAAGCCTTCGCTAGTCAAAGTTAAAGCCAAATCCGAAAGTGCTCCCACAGCTGGCTGTCATTGCTCTATCAGTCAATGCTATGTCATTCTCGTTCGAGGCTTCAGCAATAAGCATTTCCCATTTGGTTTTACGATTCTTGCGCTCATTTTCTTCCTGTAATTCCTTGGTCACCTTGGCAAAAAGTTCCGGAAAGTGGTTGGTCATCACGTCTCGAAACATCCCGCTTAGCTTAGAACGCTGCTCTATTGAGCAGCCAGACACTTGCTCTGGCTTCTCTGACAGGAAATTCAACACACTCTTCACATTGCCAGAACTTACAAAGTTCTGAGTCACAGCGATACTCTCCTCGATATTAAGCACTGTGTGCCACCAGCCATGCGGTACAAACATAGTCTCGCCCTCACGGCAAATGCCTTCTAACGGCTTTAGATGTGCAGGCAACTTCTGCACAACCTTGTAAAACGTCACGAACCACTCCATTAGAGACACTGGCGTAGACACCTCGCTACCATCCTCGCTTGGATGAATTCCAGGCGGGACTTGGCCAGGAGGGAACATGATCCACTTCTTACTGCCTCGAATCACGCTGTTCCACGCGTTCGTAGCATTTGGGTCGATGTGAAAGCTGGAACCAGATTTCTTGGGACCAATGATGAGCCAGCGATAGTCCGGTCGCTTCTTCTCATCGAGGAGAGCAAAATAATCCTCACAAAAGTATTCAGGCACCACGTAGTCTTTTGCAAGCTGGGGCACCTTCGTAGCAAACTCTTTATCGAAAACAAACAGTGGTTGATCATCCTGCAACACGCGTGCATAGTTCAAATAAGCATCCATAGGGAACTGAAACCCGCCAGCGTAGAATGTCGTGCCCTTGCAAACGTCACCTAAGTACTCATCCGTCCACTTGTCCATCGCCGCCCAGTTGTCAATAGCACCCGTGATGATCACCGGTAGATTAGGACCTTCAAAATCCCTCTTAAAGTCTGCTACCGTCATGTTTGTAGCACTTCGACGCTCAATATTTTCTATCATCAGCCACGTTTCTTCAATTGGTGCAGCTGCACAATAAAAAGACTGAAACAATAGATCGGAGTACACTCCCTGCACATGAATTGAGCCTCCATCTTTTACCTTGTCATCATACTTGGTGTTCAAGTACGTAGCTTTCCATGTAGACTTGGGCTTAAATTGTGCCTGCATTTGTTCAAGCACCAGCACTCGCCATAGTTCGTCGTGTGTGGCGTACACGTAGGCAGCGCGACTGCAAGCTGCCAAGTTCACCAAGTCCACAGCCGAGAAATAATTCAATAGTGAAAGTATCTGAATATCCGGCAGTATTCCCAGTCTGCCTAAACCTGATGTACGACACTCTATAACGCCATTGATAATGTCTTCGAAGTAGTTGCCAATAGGTTTAACACCCAGCGGATGTTTCAAACGACGCGCTCTTGGACTGTAGACGAAGTTGTTGCTGCTTGTATCTAGTGATGTCTTGACTTTCTTTGCTACTCGACTAGCAATTCTGTCGCCAGTACGGATGCATGTGGCGGCCGGAGGCTCACGCATTTCTATGGTGTTGAAATACGTGCAATTTACAATATAGAAATGACTTATAGAAATGAAACTTTAGACAAAAGGTGAAGTAATAGCAAAAATCGATTCACAAACCAGACCTATTTCAACCTATTGCTTCTAAAGCAAAGTGTAACACCTAGTTAATACTCGTCGCCAAAGGTTTCGTCCTCACCTTCGCCATCGGCAGTCTCAGCTGACACTTCTTCGTAATCCTTCTCCAGAGCAGCAAGGTCTTCGCGAGCCTCCGAGAACTCGCCTTCTTCCATGCCCTCACCCACATACCAGTGCACGAACGCACGCTTCGCGTACATCAGGTCGAACTTGTGGTTGATGCGTGAAAACACCTCAGCAATGGCGCTCGTGTTCGAGATCATGGCCACAGCGCGCTGTACGCGCGCGAGGTCACCGCCTGGCACCACCGACGGCGGTTGGTAGTTGATGCCGCACTTGAAGCCTGTCGGACACCAGTCCACGAACTGAATGGTGCGCTTCGTCTTGATCGTGGCCACGGCAGCGTTCACGTCCTTAGGAACAACATCACCTCGGTACATGAGACACGTAGCCATGTACTTGCCATGACGAGGGTCGCACTTGGCCATCATAGAGGTCGGCTCGAAGGCGCTGTTAGTGATCTCAGCAACCGAAAGCTGTTCGTGGTAGGCCTTTTCAGCTGAAATCACTGGAGCGTATGAGCTGAGCATGAAATGGATACGCGGATACGGCACCAAGTTGGTCTGGAACTCGGTAATATCCACATTCAACGAGCCATCGAAACGAAGCGACGTGGTCAACGATGAGATCACTTGTGCAATCAGTCGATTGAGGTTTGTATACGAGGGGCGCTCAACGCTTAAAGAACGACGACAAATGTCATAGATAGCTTCATTGTCCAACATAATAGCCACGTCCATGTGCTCTAGCAACGAGTGCGTAGACAGCACCGAGTTGTACGGCTCTACGACAGCTGAAGACACTAGAGGAGACGGGTAGATCGTAAAGCCCAATTTGCTCTTACGACCATAGTCAACTGACAGACGCTCAAGTAGCAACGAGCCAAGACCGGAACCAGTACCTCCACCTACAGCATTAAACACCATAAAGCCCTGAAGACCAGTACAAGCATCTGCAAGCTTGCGGACACGGTCTAGTACTTGGTCTACAACTTCTTTGCCAATAGTGTAGTGGCCACGTGCATAATTATTAGCAGCATCCTCTTTTCCTGAAATGATCTGTTCTGGATGGTACAATTGACGGTACGTGCCCGTCCGCACCTCGTCACAGACAGTAGGTTCCAAGTCGACAAACACGGCACGAGGGACGTGTTTTCCTGATCCTGTTTCAGAGAAAAAGGTCGAGAACGAATCGTCTCCCATGGCACTAGAGTCACTAGGGATTTGACCATCGGGTTGAATACCATGTTCAAGACAATAGAGCTCCCAACAAGCATTACCGACTTGGATACCGCCTTGACCGAGATGAATTGAGAGGATTTCACGCATGTCGAGTTTGAATGTGTGGCTATTGTCAAACTTGACAAATGACGTAGGACAACGCGAAGATAATTCGACTTACATATTGATAGAGGTTGATGGAATGTTACTGGTTTTTTGTTTCGTATTAAATATACAGAAATAGTGTATATCACCCGAATATAGAATCAAACAGGTTCAATTGTGCCGCATTTCTGCATATTTGTAGCAATTCGTGGGCGACAATCCGTAAAGTTCCTAAAATAGTCAGATCGAGACATACTACCCGAGCTTTTAAAAATGAATATTACATTAGTACATTTGTCCTTAAAGCGACAGGTCACATATGCGAGACGGGTGGTGTGCGTAGCAGGAGCGTTTTTATTGGGTAGGATTGTGCCACTCTAGCATCTGATTGGTTCAAACCTCCTTTGCAGTCGTAAAAGAGTCTACTTTTCAAATATTCAAATATTCTGGAACTCCCTTTCCCGCCTGTGCCTTTCTCGTCGTCATTCTAAAATTCGACTATAAACGCCCTCATAACGTTTAAAGTTGATCCAAATAAGAACCTCCCACAGTCTTAATCGCCAATAAAAAATATGCGTGAAATCCTCTCAATTCATCTCGGTCAAGGCGGTATCCAAGTCGGTAATGCTTGTTGGGAGCTCTATTGTCTTGAACATGGTATTCAACCCGATGGTCAAATCCCTAGTGACTCTAGTGCCATGGGAGACGATTCGTTCTCGACCTTTTTCTCTGAAACAGGATCAGGAAAACACGTCCCTCGTGCCGTGTTTGTCGACTTGGAACCTACTGTCTGTGACGAGGTGCGGACGGGCACGTACCGTCAATTGTACCATCCAGAACAGATCATTTCAGGAAAAGAGGATGCTGCTAATAATTATGCACGTGGCCACTACACTATTGGCAAAGAAGTTGTAGACCAAGTACTAGACCGTGTCCGCAAGCTTGCAGATGCATGTACTGGTCTTCAGGGCTTTATGGTGTTTAATGCTGTAGGTGGAGGTACTGGTTCCGGTCTTGGCTCGTTGCTACTTGAGCGTCTGTCAGTTGACTATGGTCGTAAGAGCAAATTGGGCTTTACGATCTACCCCTCGCCTCTAGTGTCTTCAGCTGTCGTAGAGCCGTACAACTCGGTGCTGTCTACGCATTCGTTGCTGGAGCACACGGACGTGGCTATTATGCTGGACAATGAAGCTATTTACGACATTTGTCGTCGTTCGCTGGACATTGAACGTCCGACTTACGCAAATCTTAATCGACTGATTGCACAAGTGATCTCATCGTTGACCACATCGCTTCGTTTCGATGGCTCGTTGAATGTGGATATTACCGAGTTCCAGACCAACTTGGTGCCGTATCCGCGTATCCATTTCATGCTCAGCTCATACGCTCCAGTAATTTCTGCTGAAAAGGCCTACCACGAGCAGCTTTCGGTTGCTGAGATCACTAACAGCGCCTTTGAGCCGACCTCTATGATGGCCAAGTGTGACCCTCGTCATGGCAAGTACATGGCTACGTGTCTCATGTACCGAGGTGATGTTGTTCCTAAGGACGTGAACGCTGCCGTGGCCACGATCAAGACCAAGCGCACCATTCAGTTTGTAGACTGGTGTCCGACAGGCTTCAAGTGCGGCATCAACTACCAGCCGCCGTCGGTGGTGCCAGGCGGTGACCTCGCGCGCGTACAGCGCGCTGTGGCCATGATCTCGAACACGAGCGCCATTGCTGAGGTGTTTTCCCGCATCGACCACAAGTTCGACCTAATGTACGCCAAACGTGCGTTCGTGCACTGGTATGTGGGTGAGGGCATGGAAGAAGGCGAGTTCTCGGAGGCTCGTGAGGACCTTGCTGCTCTGGAGAAGGACTACGAAGAAGTGTCAGCTGAGACTGCCGATGGCGAAGGTGAGGACGAGGAGTTTGGTGAGGAGTACTAAGATGATCAGTGCTCTGATTGAATTGAGAGTCTAGCAGTCGAGTAGCGTTCGTCTATATTCGTTCGAACAACTCACCAATACATTGAACCTGCCTGCTTTCAAAGTGACAATGCTTCCAATATCTACTAATGTAAATTTGCAGGATTTCGACTACAAATTAAGATTGGAATGTAATTGTTAGGATATTCAAGATACCTGATTACAAGCCAGATACTAATTTTGTCCGTTTCAGATTAATTTGTGTGGGGTTCGAGCGTCCTTTTTGATTACTCTTAAGTTCGCATTGGCTAAATTTGACCATTATTCTCTCTTTTTAATATTAATTGTAATTATAATATGGTGCGCGAAGTCTTTCACCTAACAGAAGCAATAATAATTGTTTTGGGACGCAAAGGGTTGTTAAATGGTACTAAGTATCCGGTTTAATTCAATAGATGCTAACAAGAAACATCACTTCGGTGGCAATGCATCTCTTGGACAGCAAAAGACCATGCTGTCCGCCAATGTTGTCCTGTTGACAACATCTGCTCATACTCCACGACGGCCTATTCCCGTTCGTTTGGTCCAACCCCCATACAACCACTTACGATCCGCGCAATAGTGTTGCTCTACTTTAGCAGAGCTCACCATTTCTGCGATGTAATTATTGTTTGGATGTGTCCACAAAAAATTGGGATTTTTTCCGTGTGTTTACGTGATTTATGGACTGATCAACCAATTAGCTTCTTCTCGGCTTTGCCACGACATTGCAGCATTTTTGTGATCATTTTAAACCAAATGTTGCTTCCATCGGGTCAAGAAATAAGCGTTTAGAGCGAGTCAATGCATCAAAGAGTTCAAGATGAATCTTTTTCTTGGATAAGCCATTGTTGTGATTCCTTTAGTAACGAATGAATTATAGTTGAATTCCGACAGGCGAATTGCATCGCTTGTTAGTTCAAGCAGGTGATGCGTCGTCAGCTGACACTTTGTTGTCAGGCGGAGAAGAGGTGTTCAAATAATTATGTAGAGATATAGCAATTATAGTAAAAAAAAATGTAAGAAACTTCCTATCGGATTGGGTGCTGCTGTACCATTTCTTAATTTGGGTTCCTACATTAAAAATTTTTGGTCCGAATTATAGAACTAGCGATTCATTTATAGAATTGTGCATCCTATTATCGATCATGATTTATGTGGTAGCCACATTGTGTCACCAAATGATACAATAACTACTGACAGCATATAGTATAGTAGTAGTAATAGTGCGTAGTACTCCCTACTTACTACTCTACCGAGTATTATCTAATTCAGGAGCATGCGAAGGGTGTTACAATAATACGGGACAATGCTAAAAGGTGGCACATGTCCCATAATAATCGTGTCCACAACATGAAACCAACTTCATAATTTTGTCTGGCAGTCAGACCCCAAGGCAAGGAAAAAATGACGGTATTTGATGGATATTATGACGATTATCAACATGCTCAGCAAGAGGCATTGGAAGCTATTGATGAATACAAACACACTTTGAATTCCGGTATGATAATAATAATAAGCAAAAAATATTCTTGGGTGTGTAAAAATATCACTTTTTTAATATTTTTATGTGCTGTGCACCAGTTGATCGGGAACAATTGGCCGTGACTGCAAAAAATAATGTTGATGAAGTGGAACGATATGTAAGTGACTTAAAAACGTGTTTTTACGTTAAAATGTGGGTTTAAAAATAATTGATAATAAAAAATAATAATTTGCATGTTGGGAACAGATTCGTATATTGGAAAATGAAGCCAAGACCTTGTCGTCTCTTACTGAAAAAAGAAAAATGATGGAAACAGTGTATCACTGTAAAACCAAATGGATGGGATTAAAAGCTTCATTGGAAAAGGAAATGTTGGTGGGTGATGTTCGAGGAAACAATTTGCCCATTTCGTCATCTGATGCGACGACGGTTTGTTTTCATGAGCTCATCTTTTTTTTTTAAAAAAAAAGTCAAACAAGCTACTGACATTTTTTTTTCATGGTTGTTTGATACTGTCACAGACAGAGCAATTAGAAAGCTGTGCCGAACGCATTGATAGGTTTGTATTTGTATTTGAAAAGTCTTTTGAATTTTATGCTGGTACAGTTGGGTTCATACCTCATGTTTTTTTTCTTCTTAGAACTGGACGTCATTTAGATGATGCACAGCGCACCCTTGCCCAGACAGAAGCGATCGGTAGGTGATAGATACTGCACGGACATTTTTATTTATCTTATTCATTCATTCACCTTCTTTTTGAATTGAATGGTGAATGCTTTTGTAGCGGAGAACGTTTCAAACAACTTGTTACAGCAACGGAATCAATTGGAACATACTGAGCTGAATGTACGGAATGACACGAGCACATGTATGAGGAAGTTGTGTCTGATGGCATGCAAAATTGTGTGTGTAGATCGCACAAACGCAAGATGAAACTGAGGAGGCTAAAGGCTATATTCGTTCGATGGCATTTAAAGCGTGCACAAGTCGAATTCTCTTGTTCCTGGTGATGTTGGCGCTCGTGGCTGCCATCGTTTTGGTCTCGTACTTCAAGTGGTATCCACGCAACCAAACGGATCACTTGGGAATCTTGCCTAACTCCAACACGACCAACTCTACTACTGGCGCAGCTTCTCAGTGACGATGGAAAGGTGATGAAAGCGCCACAGCAGATAAGGATATTGAACAGCAATAAAGCGAAGCGCGTTTCTTATCTTTCTTCTCAAAAGTTCCTCGTAGAGTACAAATTTTGCTGCAAGTGCGGCCACTGCAATGAGAAGACCGCGTAGCACTTAGAACAGACGAAGACTAATTTTGAATGTGCTCTCGCTCAATCCGCAGTTGTTTATTACGCGTCAAAACATCACCACATCAGGCCATATTCAACACTCGTTGCTGGCTGCAATTCGCCTCTAGATATGTGTCATCGCGTCTGCAAGGGGTCCGTTGTTAATTGGGTCTCCAATACTTGTAATTCCCGGCTCATTTTTGAAATAGCAGCCAGGTAATGAGGTAGTGGCGATTGCCTCTCCAACGTGATCGGATGCATCGTCAAGTACGACTGGGCGTGGAAATCCCGTAAAATAGCAGTCATCATGCTTGGTGGTGCCGATTCTGTCACTTTACCGTTCTTGGGATCGTTATCTTTCTTCAGCAATGCAAGTACTAGCGTCACTTTCAAAACCCTCGCCTCTCGCTTGTGAGCTAGTGTATGCTGCGCGTGAAGCAAGGAAGTGGACTTCCAGGCATCACTACCAGTGGAAAGTACAGCTCTACTGTTGGCACGAGCGGCAGTGTTCTCTTGAGGAGACATGACGGCGAATCCGAGGTTGTCAGAAACGTATAAAGCTGTAGACGACGGATTTTCACGCAGTTGTACCTCCTCATTCGATGCTGCATTGAGCTGCAGAAGCAATACACACGATAGAAGCGGTATAAATGCCATTGGTATCAGCTCCTTCATTCGATTGGATCGTAGCGTCTCCCATGCAGCTTTCTCGTCGTCATTTAAACACGACGCCCCAGACATGTCATTCAGCCGCGTGACTACAAGCACGCTCTTCTCACCGAAGAGTGCAAGAAAGTGTAGCATCTTCAGCATCATCTTAAGCAAAGCGTTTTCAAGGCCACTTCCATCTTTGACAGGAATCATATATGTCTCAAGAACTGAGCCAACTGCATCTGTGCAGCTGCATGCGATCCATTTGCGGTCCTCTGAAAGCAAGTACCCGCCATAAATGTACGGCGGCGGCTCCATCTGAACTTGCTGATTCTCAGAAAGCTTGCCTGCTCGCCAATCAGCTAGGTGGTACAGACGCTCACAAAGAAACCGAGATCGACCGGCACAACTAACCACTCCATCAGCTGGCTTCAAATTTACATTCTCACATATACGGTCGTAAAGACCAAAACAGTTTGGCATCAGCATCAATGGGCTTGGGTTCACCTCCACTTCATACAAGTCATCCAAGTAGACCATCTCAATCGTCACACTATCTTTCCAACCACTGACCTCGGTGATATTTTCCATTCCAAACAAGCCGCTTGAAAATGCTCCTAAAGTCCACATTTTGTGCTTCACATCGCTTCGGCGAAATGGAACCATCAAGTATACGACATTAGCAACAGCTGACCTTGAAAAAGCCTGTGTTGTTTTGGTAGCGCCCGATAATAACACAGGATTCAAAAGCTTTCCAGCCGTGCGGAAATTAGCGAAGGGGTCCAAACTACTCTCGGCGCAGTCAACAAGTAGCAGTCCATTAGAAGTATCCACGCTCACATAATGATTTCCTTCCACTTGGGCAAGATCGATGGGAGCCAAATCGCCCATATGGCACTGCGCATACATACTCCGGAAGCAGGAAAAATAAGATAGCGCGAGAGAGGCAAACCACTGTGTCGGAGACTGTGGGCAAACGATCACGTAGTCTACTGGCTTTGGTGCCGATACCGGATACAAATCACGCAATAAATATTCCGAAATGATAGCGGGTGCAACGTGATAGCTTGCCTCCAGCGTAGATACACAAAACTTTGGCACTTCCTCTACACGGACGCACTCAAGTCGTTTGTTGCCACGTGTTCTCATCGGAGCTTGAGTGTATTCCTCCAAGCTCATCCAGTGTCGGTCCCACTTGGTTTTTCTAATTTCACTTTCGTTCTTGTCTTCTTTTTTCAGAAGCAATAACAGGCTCTGCAAATAAGGCTGCACGCGATGCACTATCTCGTTCTTTTCCAACGTACTTGCTGTACTGACCTGCAAATTTGAGTGCGTGGACCACTCCTTGATTCCATCTGGTTCTTGTCGCCAAGTCACCAACGCGTCCGAAGCTGCCATTTGAATGCCTATTGAAATCTCGCTATCTCGTACATTTAACTGATCATAACTATTCCAATTCTTCACCGCCTCCTGTTGAGCACGTTCTTCAAACGCAAATTCGTCAAACTCAAGAAGAAGCCGACGCTGCTGTTCCTTCTTCTGCTGACGACCATTTTTTGGATACTGCAGTCTTGTGTACTCAGACCGCCAGCACTTGAAACGATCAGAGCACAAATGAAGACGCAGTTGGTCAGCTGTTGCACGGTTGATTGAAAGCCGGCCGACTGTTGATCGAAGTGCGGGTGGAATATACGTCTCTGCGTTAGGCAGGAACTTGACTTTTGGCGACACAATTGAGGTTAGCTTTGCCTCAATATTTAACTTGGCTTCATCATCAACATAATCTTGAAGTGCTTGTAGCAGAGGATGTGTCTTCACAGGCCGGCCGTCCAACACCTCATGTTGTTCGTTATGAGAAAGTGATTCCACAAGCGATACAGCCACACTTTGAGGTTTAACTTCATTTTTCAGCATAGTGAACGTTGGTCCAGACTTCGAGAGAGACGCTTTTGCCATGGAGTATAATTGGGCAGGGTCCAATGCAGTTCCCTTTATGCCAGTGCTGACACGTACCAAAGGCTGAGTCGTCGCACTGGGACTGGTACTATTAGGCTTGATCGGTCCAAATGTCAGCGAGAAGCCCGAGTTGTTTGCTCCCTTCACTTTGTAGCCGCTTCGCCGCCGTTTAAAACGTTTAACCCCAGTGTCTACTCGTAAGCGTAAGTCATTGTCATGTGGGAGCGTCATTTGGATAATCGGACCAACTGCATCGGGTGTATTTACATGCATGTCAGGAGACGTTGGTGCAAAGGATTCATCGTTCTCCGTCGAATCAGCACTGTCACGCTTCCGTTTTGCCTTTGCTGCTCCACCAGTTACAGCACGTCGTAGTAACTCATCTGTTTCCACGTCAGCCTCTTGGTTGTTGTCATCATCGTCCTCATCTGCATCTTCTTCGTTCTCATCCTTTTTCACTTCCTCTTCATTTCCACTGCCTTCACCATTCTCCAATCTACGCTTATGTGTCCGCTTCGAGATTGTGCGAAACCACGGCGTCACATCCATGTATTTTGTCTCGGCTATTATCCGCGGTACTAAGCCATCCTTCATGTGCCATACATCCACCATTGAGTGGTCCTTCTGCGTCGGCAAACCTACAAGCCGTTCCCAGGAACATCTCATATCTCCCACTTCCATACCTGTTTCACCATCCAATGCCAATGAGCCTTCTCTCCTCACTACATCCACTGCAACAGTCAGAATGTTGCTCAGCTCGAGCAATTTAAAGTGCAATTGGAATACTGGAATCGGAAACTCCTCTTGCAAATACACTTCCACGTGATTCAATCTCGTCAGCGACGGACAGCGGAAAATAAAATTGGCTTCGTTTGGTTCATAGAACCCTTCATCAGTGAGTATAAACTCGTCTTGAGCGAGCAATTTTCGGCTAAGAACGGATGTTAATGCAGCAAAAAACTGCTTCTGGATTGCTGTATCAAGAGGCTTGGTAGCAGCTGTCCAGGACCCCGTCTGGGTCTCCCTGACCCCTGTAGATGGTTCAATTGGGACTCCACTCTGCATTCCATTGACAATAAAGACCCAGAGTTCTCTAGAGCTGCTGAAGGACAGAGAAGAGGACGTAATGTCCTTTTCAACGTCTTGGAGGACACAAACAGCGTTACGCTGCTGTAGACGCTGGAAAAAAACTGCCAGAGCCGTATCATCTGTCTGTAGAGCATTAGCGTTGACTGCTTTCTTACTTGTCGTCTTCTTGCTTGGACCAGCCTCGTCTATTGGTACACAATGGCTGTACACGTGCCATTCTAAGGACTGTAAATCACACTATTATGAATTATGAGAGAATATAAGTTAATACGTTATTCCAAAATATTAATTTAAAGAGGTAACACATACGAGGGTGAAGATGCTGGTCATTAGTGGCGATACAGACGCCATTTGGTCCGTTTTTTGACAGTAATGCAATCTTCAGAGACACGGGACTTTATTATACAGCAGAGATGGTGAATAAACACTCGCTACGCACTGCTACAAGCCTTAGAAGGCCACGCACCGTTAATGACTTGTATACGATCTGAAAAATAATAATATCAAGTTCAACAATGTATATTATGTGGTACACGTCAATTTCTACCACAAAACAGTCAATATGGCTACATCCAGCTTCAACGTCATATTTAGATGCCGGTTGACAGAATGTGAGCAATTACATGGCAAAAGAGTGAGGATGAAGACAGAGCACACGAGATAAAAAGGTTTGTTTATAGATGGAAAACCCAACTCCATGACCAAATTGCTGAGATTGTCGACTATCTTTCGTGCATTTGCCATCGTGTCCATTCGTTCATATGTTTGGCACACGATTTTTCCAGATATTCTTGTAACGTTCTTGTTTATCCTCGATCACTCTCGCTCCAGTGGGGCAATAAACATGCACTATCTTGATCTGACCTGCAGACATGTAGCAGACGATCGACCTACGTCTTTTGCATGATCGCCTCAATCTCCTCAACCGTTCTAGGTACTTTGCTCATGCACTCGACGCCAGTTGCAGTCACGACAACATCCGACTCGATTCGAACACCTCCAGTGCCACGAAAACGAGATAGCATTTCCTGGTTAATAAACTTGGCAGTCACGGCGTTGGCTAGTACTGCCTGAATCTGAGCCTCAATAAAGTAACAACCAGGCTCCACGGTCAGCACCATATTCTTCGCAAGGTTGCGCACACAACGCAGTTTGGCTAGAATTTTCTTTGTAGAGCGGGTGTAGCCCACGGGAATACCACCAACGTCGTGGGTATCGAGACCCATCAAGTGGCCGAGACCATGAGGATAAAAGTATGCCGAGATTTCATAATCCATTAACTCGTCCACCGTACCGTTCTGGAACAGGCCATACTCAAGAAGGTATTGCGTCAGCACACGGTGTGACAGCAAGTGCAAGTCAACATAGCTCACACCCGGCTTAATGGCATCCATCACGGCGTCGTGCACCTTCAGCACACCTTCGTAGACCACACGCTGGTCGGCAGAAAAGACACCATTAACAGGCCACGAGCACGTAATGTCCGACGTGTATCCATGAAGCTCACCACCCATGTCGTTCAAGAACAAATCACCATCTTCCAGCAACTTGTCATTTGGTGCACCAGCGTGACCATAGTGAAGCGCCGACGCATTGTGACCACTGCCACAGATACATGTGTAAGCATGAAAGCGAGCACCACCATTACTATACACATAGTGCAAAAAATCACTTTCCGCGTGGAACTCCATCTTGCCCGGACAAATGTTCTTCATCACATTAATATGAGCACGTGACGACAGTTTATTCACAAACCGCAGCAACTCCAATTCCTTCTCCGTCTTGATCACTCGACACTCGACCAGTATTGGGTGCAGTGCCTCTTTATCCACTTCAAATTCGTCCATCCCTTCAAAACTCGACGTCGTCGTCGTTACCAACCCACTGTCTGTGTTTGTACCGTGTAGCACGTACAGTTTCTTAGCCTGGATTTTCTCAGCCAATACAGCTGCAATCTCATCCACGTAAAACACGTCATCCACCTTATAATGTGCTTTAAAATAGGCCAATGGTTTACGATCACCACACCAAAGTTCCCATTCATCACTCAGTCGTGGTACAAATAGTACAGCCTTTTGTGTCGTTAGATCCACAAGACCAGCACATCCCGGTTCACGGACTCCAAACAAGTATTGAAAAAAGCTCTCCTGATGAAAATTGTATTGAATATCCGTATCATAACGGTCGATTTCAATGCCACCATGTAACAAAATGACTGCTGCATTCGTTTTAGCCTCGAAATGGGTCTCTAAAAATGTGTGTACCACATTTTGACGAATTTGTACGTGCATAGACAAGTCAATCGGAAAAAGCTCGTAATTGTCAGCGGGATCGACCAATGAGCGGCCGTTCTGTGTCATCAGATGTGTATGACCGTTAGCGACCCTATTCCTGGCGGTGGCTGTAGCAGCACTTGGACGACGAGAAGTATTAGTTGTAGCGTTCATAAGATTGTATGAAGAGGCACGCTTCTTTTGCAAGAGAGCGATGGATGTCATAGCGACGGTAGCTGTTGCTGCAGCCAGGAATCCATTTACGTGCTCAGAACTCATAAGGTCGTTTGGAAGAATATAATTAATTTTTAGTTTAAAATTTAAGAGTTGATCTGTAAATTGAAGAGTTAATTTGTAAATTATACGAGTTAATTTGTAGCTTTAAGATTTGGTTTGTAAACTTTAGTAGGTAAAGTTGTAGAAGGATTGATATTGCGTGCAATATTTTTGGAACGTAGTGATTTTGTCCTTCTCGATAAATATACTGGTTTAGTATAATCTATGGTCCTTATAACGATATAGTCGTTGACGACTTCAGACAAAGAGGCATTCCTTACTCATCACTCACTCAGTGTTCATTTTTCCCAACTCTTCTTCGATAGCTACGGCTCACGCTCAATGACTGCAGCAGCTCCCATTCCTGTGCCAATGCACATGGAAATGACTCCATAACGCTGGTTTTTTCGCTTGAGCTGATACAGCAACGTAGACATTTGGCGAGCGCCAGTGCAGCCCAACGGATGACCCAGTGCAATAGCTCCACCCTTTGGATTCACCTTCTCAATCGGAATGCCGAGCTTCTTGATGCAGTATGCTGCCTGGCTAGCAAACGCCTCGTTGATCTCAAAGACATCGATCTGATCCAGAGTCAAACCAGCCTTTTGCAGTGCTTCCGGGATAGCAACAGATGGGCCAATGCCCATTAGAGAGGGTGGCACACCTGCCACAGCGTACGACACAAATCGGCCAAGGATCGGCAATCCCATCTTCTTGGCCACGGAGCGACGCATAAGCAGCACGGCAGCTGCACCGTCACTTACTTGGCTCGAGTTACCAGCTGTGGTTGAGCCGCGTTCCTTGAACGCTGGTCGAAGCTTTGCTAGCTTTTCTGCTGTCGTGTCGACACGAATGCCGTCATCCCTAGAGACAATGACTGATTTCTCTGTTCCGTCCTTGTCCTTGATGATCGTCGACACGGGTGTAATCTCATCCTTGAACCAACCATTGCTCTGAGCTGCTGCTGCCTTGGCATGTGAGAGCGCCGCCATCTCGTCCTGTTCAAGGCGTGAGATGCCGTACTTCTCGGCCACATTTTCACTCGTGATGCCCATGGGCACGGTACAGTCCATGGCATCCTGCACAGCTCCAATACGTTCCCAGTTGACGGTTGGGACATCTTTACCAATACTTGCAAGTGACATGCACTCAACCCCTGCAGCAATGCCAATATCATAATATCCAGCCTTAATGGCTGCTGTCACATTCGCAACAGCTTGGAGACCAGAGCTGCACTGACGATTGACAACGTGCAATGGCACCGTATGCGGGATACCGGCAGCCAACTGGGCCATACGGGCCATACCAGCACCTGCACCGGGTTGTAGTACGTTGCCTACAACAATGTCACCGACGAGCTTCGGGTCCACCTTGGCCTGATGAAGCACAGCCTGCAGCACGTGACCTAGCAACACATCGGGTGTCGTGTCTTTAAAGCCGCCACGACGGGCTTTGGTGATGGGTGTACGAAGTGCCGATACGATCACCACATCTTCTTCGAGTATTTCCGATTTGTCGAATCCATTGGACACATGGGAACGGATACGATCGATGCGATGCATAACGAAGAGAGGAGGGGACGGCTATAAAGGAAGTGCTTTAAATTAAAAATGAGATAAAACCACGTCTAAATCAACCGGAATGTGGTTTTACGAGGATTTAAGCTGAGTATACAGTATGTATGGATTAATTAATTACAGCAATACATAGCTGTTGGAAAAGGCAAATGGGCCGAGTATATGAATAATAAAGAGAAGCAGCAATACTTGCAAGTAAAATGTAATGGAATCAAAGCTTGTGGCTTCTGACATTTTGATGTAGCAACATGCAGCATTGGTGTCCGGCCCTCATCTTTTCCTTCAAATTTCGTTTCCTGTTGATCGTTTGTAGCTTCAATAGGTAGCCACTGACTGACCAGCAAGTGGAAAAGCAGTATCGTTGCGTTGCAACTCTAAGAGACCGGTAGTGGTCTTGAATGGTCAAGTACTTAATACTCTTCACCAAACTCCTCGTCGTCGCCTTCGGCAGTCTCAGCTGACACTTCTTCGTAATCCTTCTCCAGAGCAGCAAGGTCTTCGCGAGCCTCCGAGAACTCGCCTTCCTCCATGCCCTCACCCACATACCAGTGCACGAACGCACGCTTGGCGTACATTAGGTCGAACTTGTGGTCGATGCGGGAAAACACCTCAGCAATGGCGCTCGTGTTCGAGATCATGCACACGGCACGTTGCACGCGCGCGAGGTCACCACCTGGCACCACCGACGGCGGCTGGTAGTTGATGCCGCACTTGAAGCCTGTCGGACACCAGTCCACGAACTGAATGGTGCGCTTCGTCTTGATCGTGGCCACGGCAGCGTTCACGTCCTTAGGAACAACATCACCTCGGTACATAAGACACGTAGCCATGTACTTGCCATGACGCGGGTCGCACTTGGCCATCATAGAGGTCGGCTCAAAGGCGCTGTTAGTGATCTCAGCAACCGAAAGCTGCTCGTGGAAAGCCTTTTCAGCAGAAATCACTGGAGCGTATGAGCTGAGCATGAAGTGGATACGCGGGTACGGCACCAAGTTAGTCTGGAACTCATTAATGTCAACGTTCAATGATCCATCGAAGCGAAGCGACGTAGTCAATGATGAAATTACTTGGGCAATCAGCCGGTTTAAGTTGTTGTAAGTCGGACGTTCAATGTCCAGCGAACGACGACAAATGTCGTAGATAGCTTCATTGTCCAGCATAATAGCCACGTCCGTGTGCTCCAGCAACGAATGCGTAGACAGCACCGAGTTGTACGGCTCTACCACAGCTGAAGACACTAGAGGCGACGGGTAAATTGTAAAGCCCAATTTGCTCTTACGGCCATAGTCAACTGACAGACGCTCAAGTAGCAACGAGCCAAGACCGGAACCAGTACCTCCACCTACAGCATTAAACACCATAAAGCCCTGAAGACCAGTACAAGCATCTGCAAGCTTGCGGACACGGTCAAGCACGACATCCACGTATTCTTTTCCAATAGTATAGTGACCTCGTGCGTAATTGTTTGCAGCATCTTCTTTCCCCGAAATGATCTGCTCTGGATGATACAATTGACGGTATGTACCGGTACGTACTTCGTCACAGACTGTGGCTTCTAAATCCACAAAAACAGCACGTGGAACGTGTTTCCCTGATCCTGTTTCTGAGAAAAAGGTCGAAAACGAATCATCGCCACTACCAATGGACTTATCACTGGGCATAGTACCATCTGGTTGAATCCCATGTTCAAGACAATAGAGTTCCCAACAGGCGTTACCTGTCTGAATACCTCCTTGACCCAAGTGAATGGAAATGATCTCACGCATGATGATAAGGGGATCTCGTTGACGTGTCCTAGAGTGACTTGGATAATGAATACGAGGAGATCGTGTGACGATATGTGTACTTTCAGTGGCAGTAAGGTACTACCTGGTAAACAGCATACTGAAGAGGTAATACCGATAGGTTTTTCGATAGGTTTATGATGTACAATACACGAGGATTTTGACATGCAGAAGGTCGGCTGATTAAGATGCACCTGACGCACGACAATGGATCGCATTTCTCATCTTCGTCTTGTGCCATTTATCCACTCTACGTCTATGACTACTAGCGTTGTCGATGAGCGCTTATCGCTATTGCATCCACATGTCTCAAGACGAATTGGACGACGTACGCGACTCCTTATAAGTGGCTTGGTACTACTGTTGTTGTTTGCAGGAGGTGTCGCGTGCGTTGCCATTGTCTTGCGTCTCTTCCGAGGTGCTACTACACTCCCAATTATAATGAGACCGCTGGTATTTTCCGAAGAGGTCAAAAAAAAACCGGTATTCAAAAGGGTTTTGGTCCCCAAACCTTTGACTGACTGTATGGAAATGTTTGTCACAGTTTGATGCAATTGTCATTGGTGGAGGACCGGCAGGATCAGTGGTAGCGAAACTGCTGAGTGATGATCCATGGCGACGCGTGTTGCTGATTGAAGCAGGGAACGCGTCCCAAAAACAGCTGGGGGGCAAGGTGTGTGCACCACAGAATGATGGTCATGGGGGTAGGGGAAAAGGCATTGATTTACGTTAATTTTGTCCATGCCAGAATGCCATTCAGTCACGATTCAATGCAAAACAATTGACACCTTTTGATGTGCCGTTCTATTGGACAAATGTGGCCAATACACCCCAAGTGCATTGGGCGTATCCAGATGTTAATGTAGCCAAAGCATTAGGAGGATGTGGGATTCATAATGCCATGCTTTACGGTACGTGAAGTTGCAAGGAAGAAGATGAAGAGCGAGTTTCATTTACGTTTAATGCTGTTTGTTTGATTCCGATCCATGTAGTACGAGCTTTACCATCGGATTTAGATAGTTGGCAACTGGAAAAATGGTCTTGGGAAGAAGCACTGGCAATTTACATGGCTATTGAGGACTTTGATGGACCAAATTCAAGTTACCACAGCACAAAAGGATTTGTCCGTACGAGTCCACCAGCATACAAGACAAATTTTTCCAAAGAGTTTATTGAAGCATGTGAGCAAGTAGGAATCCCACGGACGATGGATTTTAATAAACCTGGTGGACGATTTGGTGCTGGGTATTATCATTTTAATACCCGGGACGGGGTACGTGAGAGCGCTGCCAATACGTTTCTTGGACCAATACTGGATAGCAATACGGGAGAATCTACACGAAGTAACTTTCGTTTGATGCTGGATACGACCGTCACGGTACGTACATGTCGTGTTCATCATGTTTCTATCGATCTAACACTGCAGTTGTTGGCTTGGTTAGAGAATTAAAATCAATGAGAAAAACGTGACCGAAGGAGTCGAAGTGCGCTACGGAAACGGTACAGTACAGATCATACGACTGGCAGAGCATGGTGAAATCATTGTCACAGCTGGTGCGATAAATACGCCCAAAATTTTGATGCTTTCTGGGCTTGGACATCGTGATACGCTCAAGAAGGCTGGTTTGCCTCTGAAGAAGCACTTGCCACAGGTAGGCATGAATCTGCAGGACCACCCTGTCGTAGGAATGACATTTGAGTGCAAGATCTCAAAAGCTATTGATCTCAAGTAAGTGTGTTTCTGATTATCTTTGCGGCAGCGGGTACCGGATCTTGACGGTTGTGCTATTGAAATTGAAATTGAAGGGCGAAACTCGACTCGTACTTCGTGGCTACTAACACCAAGGGTTCTAATTCATCCCGCTTCGGACCTTTTGGCTCTGCCGGCCTTAGTGCTGGGGCATTTCTTATTCCTCCCGGCGGGACGCTACCTGAAATTCAGCTCTCGCTGTTCCCCCGTAATTCTGAACCGCACATGTCCAAGAGCGCTACACTTGATTATGCCACAGAGGTTGTCATCACGATTGCACTACTGCACCCGCTAGCCCGTAATCGTGTGGTACTCATTCGCGATGACGTCGATTCGGTCGACGACAACAAAAGCGACGACTATTTGATCCCACGTGTCGTCTCGGAAGTGCCAGAGAGTAAGCCCGAACACCTCAAAGCGGGCGATGTATGGAAAATTTCCTGGGCAATTGGTGTGGTTCGAGATATTACATCGAAGCTAGGTAAGCATGAGTGTGATTGTCGACGAACCAATACCCAAGCACACGACGCTGATCGCGTTTTTTGATTTTTGTGCATAACAGCTGAGAAGGGTCTCATCGGACGTGAAATCGCCCCAGGTATCGATATCACCTCTTCAAAAGGTATGCTTCATATGTTTCTTGAAAGTTGCCAGCAACGAATTTATCTTATCGTACTTTGCGTTCGTGGTACAGACTTGGACAATTGGGTGTTTAACTCTGTATTTCGCAACTCACACTGGGTTGGTAGTGCGTCCATGGGAAGCACTGAGGACGAAGGTGTTGTGGATAATCACTTGCGCGTCTTTGGAATCAAAAATCTCCGCGTGGCCGACGCTTCTGCTATTCCACGCATTCCAAATGGCAACGTCCACTCCTCCGTGGTTATGGTAGCCTACCGCGCCGCGCAGATTCTGCGTGAAGACGAAGCAGAATATCGGCAACGACATGCCTCACAGACAGCACAGGATACGTCTGCTACTTCAAGTACGAACAGCGAGAGCAAGCTTTGACCGCGAGTTATACGAAAAAAGGAAATTGGCGATGTCTTTGTTCGAAGCACCTTGTTACAGGGTGAGTGTTGAATTTTCTCTAGCATCTGTGAGAACATCACGATAGCAGCATCGACAATACGAAAGCTGCGAGCTGTTAATACTCTCCAGATGCAGGACCTGTAGCAACGCATCGTCGTTTTTGTCATCAACATGACCATGAGCTGCAGCTTGATCCACTTCTTTTGTATATCCACTGGCAATATCCATTTCCTATCCACAGGCAAAATATCCATTCCATATCCATTGGACTGTATCCATGGTACGTGGTCCACACCAACCCATCCGTCTTATCCCTACCAACTCGTCGAAATATATGACGCACTTGTCGCTCGTGGCGGCTTTAAAGACATTGCCAGTCTCCGACACGGTCGTTTCCATCACAAGTTGGTTCCTCATCTTTCTTTTTTCTCGCTTGTTCTTTTCCTCGTGGCTTTTTCGTGATTATACAGTCCGTAGTGCCCTAACACCACTGCTTTTTACAACATCGCTGACCTTTTCTCTCAGTCTTTTTCAAATGGTTTTGTTTGAAATGACGGATATTCTGGACGTTACAAGTCGTCAATGGATTTTACGAGTGGATCTGATTGTCATGACGTATTTAATTGTGGTGATTCTACCATTTTCGCTCTTTTATGAGCTTGCAAAGGAGTATTTTGGTGTGAAGACAAGAAAAGCTTGTGTCATGGCCATGGGGATGTTGGTTTTGTACCTTTATGGCTTTTATAAGCTTGGAGATGTAATGGAACAGGATTTACCCAATCAATCAGTTGAAGGTGAGTGGCATGGTGCAATTTAGAGTGAAATGGGAGCTCCAGAAGACGAGATATGACTTGATTTGATTTGTGATTGGGAGACTGATTGGTTTGTTGTTGTTACTTGCTGCTGCTGCTGCTGGTGCTGCTGCTGCAGCCTTGTTTTCTATCAGGAACTTTGTAAGTCGAGTGAGTTTGCTGGGTGTCGTCTTTATGGCGTTGCTGTCGGGTTTTGGAGCTGTTAATTGTCCCTACGAGTACATGACGTTCTTTTGGCGTCGAGTTGCGGAGGAGGACATTGAGTTTCTGGAGAAGCGAGTGAGGCATAATCTCGACATTTTAATAGCAAAGAAAAAGCGGTTGACACTTGAGCTGAGAGCGTCGGCGAGACGACAGGATGAGGCGGTGGCAGGTGGAAGCAAAAAGGGATCGTTGTTCTCGTGGGCATTTGGCTTCTGGTCGTCCAGCAAGAACGATACGACGTACATAAAGGGGTTGAAAGCCGAGATCTTGACACTGGAAAGTCTTGGGCGCGAGCTGTTTTTGGAAGTGAATGATCTTCGAGATGCACAGGCTAGATCATTGCGTGCAAGCACGTTGCGAGGCCGTGTGTTCAACTTCTTCGGCTACGCGATGTCGGTCTTCTGTATGTATAAAATGGTAATGAGTACTGTAAATGTGATCTTTCGAAGAAACCGTGACAAGGACCCGATCACTGATGTTGTGGAAAAGCTGTTGTACATCTGGCCGTCGTTGGCGATGCAGCTGAATATCCGCTTCGTATCAGAAATAGCCTCACTCGGCTTTGTCGGAATTCTCGTTTTCACCCAGACACGAGGCTTCCTGGTGGCGTTGCTGAAGTTTTTCCGCACTTATTCGAGCACCGTATCCTCGAACAGCGTTGTGCTCTGGCTGGCACACCTCATGGGGATGTACTTTGTCTCGTCCTTTGTCCTCATGCGAATGAATCTCAGTTCGCTGCACCGGTACGGCATTGAGCTGATCGACCAAACACGGTTGCTCATAGTCTAATGGTTATTTCGTGTGCTTTTGTGCTTGATACAGGCAACGAATTGACGAAGTGCTGGGCGAAATTGAGTTTAACGTGTTCCATCGGTATTTCGACATGATGTTCGTGGTGAGTGCCTCATGGAGTCTCGGGATGTTGGCACTAACAAAATTTTCCAAGGCCTCGCGCACAGCCATCAATGATTATGACGCTCACGACAAGTTTCCGTAATGAAACTCTTTCGAGCTCGATACAGGTAGGTAAGAAGTGTAGGTGCGTTGAGTGGAGTCACTTAATTATAATTTTGGTGAAGGCAAATACGAATCGGGTCAGACCAGTTCTAGTCCTGAACGAAAGGAAAGCTCAAGAAGTCGTTGTAAAGCAGGTTCCCATTGGCGTCGTAGTGGGCAGCACGGTAGCAACGGTCGCAAAAGAACATAGGATCTACCACTGCGAGACGGTCGCCATAGCACACAAACTTGGCGCTGTAGTGTTGGCAGATCAAACAGTTGCGAAGCGCGCGATTCAGCGAGTTGGGTAGTCGCAACGGGAAAAAGCCATCCTTTTTTGGCGAGTCGAACTCATGCGGCAAACGTGCATCTCGAAGCCGCAACAAGTGTTCACACTCTCCCTGGTGAATATATACCCCTGGCACGTCTACATACAACTCCAGATCAGCAAAAGTTGACGTGTGAAGGCTACAAGCCATGCGATCATCGTCAGGAAAGACACCAAACTTGGTCTGACGCTCCGGCTTTGCTTTGATCCAGCGAACAATTTGTTTCGAGTAGTCCAGAGTCCCCGGAATGCGTCGATCCACGAAAAACTTTCGACTAAAGTACACAAGCTTGGACGCTTTCGCGTGCTCGCTTAACCTTTCGTCATTAGCACACGCAATAAGATCTACTAGCTCAGAAATTCGTTGCGATCTTCGTACAAGGAACGATTGAGTCCTTGCTGGGTCTTTGCTCGGATGAAGCACATCAAACCATAAAATCAAGTCCTTATCCTGTATAGCATCATGTGTCTTGACCATTTCCATCTTCTCTGTCTTTTCCTGTTCATGCACATTGGACATTGGCCGCGCAAACTCAAAACTCAGTGCCGTCACTGTATCCGCGACTGACCTCTTCTGTGTCAATCGTCTCTTTTTAATTTTGAGCGTGTTCACAAACTTCTGTAGTCGTTCACTCGGTATTCTCTCAGCTCTCAACGCTTCAATATCCGCCAATTCTTTGAAAACACCTTCAAACCTCACTCGTTCCTCTTGTAATTCTCTCTGCATCTTTTTCCGTTCTCTCTTTTGTCGAGTCAATGCAGCAACAGCCGATTTCTCCTTTGCTACCACAGCTGCTCGATCCGTCACTTTTGTCTCTTCTTCTTCTTCCGATTCCGTACGAACCTCTTTCTTCTTCTTCTTCTTCTTCTTCTTCTTCAATTGTAGTATTCCCTATTCCATCCGGTTGCAACGCTAATGCAGCAATTCGATGGTATTTCTTGACTCGTTCAGAATAGGGTAATGCTTGATCCGTTAAGGCCGAGTCTCCTTCATTCCATCGTCTTAAAGCACGATAAATACCATTATCGACTGCTTTTTCTAATGGTAATAGTACAATATCATCAACATTGATATCAATGGCGCTAAAATCTTCATCGTCTCGAGGCACAAGTGACGGAAAGAGCGCTTCAAAGTCCATTGGCTCGTCGTAGCCAATGGATTCAATCAATTTTAAAAGGGGATTTAATCGACTTGTCGTAATGACATAAACAGGACAATGTTGAAGTTGCTGTTCCAGTAGGACATCGGAACCGATAACCAGTCAATTACAGGACAGAGCGTTCAATTGAAGCTGTCGCTTCAACACGACCAATTTGGCACTACAGTGTATTTTTTAGGCATGCATGAACCAACGGAATCGTGTTTCCTCAGACCATGTGACTTGTTTTTCAAGCAAAAAGTATTTTTAGAGCTTGCGAGGGTGTTTCAAAAACGTCGCTGGGTAAAAATACACAATCTGGTCGACTAGAACGCCCCTACGCGTGCACTGTAGATAACCACATTGATCGATCGCATTGTCCTAGCAGCTTGCATCGCTAGATTTAACCGACGTTACGTATTTTTTTGATCTAGTCAAGTTGCATCACGCCCATCCTGCAAGCAGTATGGCGTCTTCACCACATCCGAAAGTCTACCCGTCGGAAATCAGGAATGTTGCTGCATCGACGAGCAATGTGACTTTGGTGTCTCAAAAACACGATACGATCTCATCTGCAGACTCAGTCGGGACATCCCACGATAGCAATGTCTTGTCACGCAATAAGCCAGGATGGTGTGCCAGGACATTACGTCGGAATCGAGTTGAGGACCATGCAAGAGATTCCACAAACACTGATGATAATAGTGACGACTCAGAGGAACTTTGCAAGACTCGGCTCTTGTTTGTGAACAATGTTCGGCGGACGATGGAGTACGCCGCATACATGCAGAAACATCATCACGCAGACCCGTACTGGACCAACACTGTCTGTTCTTCCAAGTACACAGCGTTCAACTTTCTACCCAAGTCATTGTTCGAGCAGTTCCGTCGCGTGGCTAATTTCTACTTCCTCATTATCTCTCTCCTGCAACTGTGCACCAAGTTATCACCTACGAACGAGTATTCGACGATTGGACCCTTGACCATTGTATTGATCGCTACGATGATCAAAGAAGGGCTTGAGGATCGTGCACGGCATCGACAAGATTGGACGGTAAACCACGGAAAGGTTGAAACACTTGATGATGCAGAAGGAAGACGCAAAACGCAAGACACTAGAGGTCATGTCGGAGGATTCCGACCAACGTTTTGGAAAAACTTACGAGTCGGTCATTTGATCAAGATCTACGATCACGAACAGGTACCTGCAGATATTGTGCTCTTATTTTCAAGCCACGAGACTGGAGAGGTCATGTGCGAGACGGCCAGTCTTGATGGCGAGTCCAATCTCAAAGTTCGTCACTGTATCAAGTGGAACCGTCTTGTCCCTCATGAACCAAACGAGTTTGGCGATACGATTCATGGGGAGGTTCGTTGTGAAGCACCGAATAAACGACTGTACAACTTTGACGGTGTTCTAAGACTATCTCGTGTCAAAGTGCAGGCGTTTGATGAACCTCAAAGACTGGCAAAGGATCAAGAATCAACGCATGAGACGGAAGAAATGTCGATTACGATTGAGAATGTTCTACTCCGAGGAATGAAGCTTTGCAACACGAAATGGGTCATTGGTGTTGTCGTTGGCGGAGGAAATGACACGAAGCTCATGCAAAACATGAAGGCGATTCCATCCAAGTTTAGTCGTTTGGATCGTATCGCGAATCGCTGCATCTTCCTCATCTTTGCCGTACTATTTTGCATCTGCTGCTTCAGTTCCATTCAAGCATTGTTGTTAGCGACGAGAGTGCACAAGAAAACTAGTTTCACAACGACATATTTTGCTGTAACCAAGTCGACTCTCGCCTACTTTCTAGAAGCTTGGATAACGCATTTGATCCTCTACAACAACATGGTGCCGATATCACTCTACATCAGTTTGGAAGTGGTGAAATGGTATCAAGCGCGGCGAATTGAACGTGACCCGAAGATGCGGTGCTCGATCACTGGTCGTGGTGTTACTGCACGCACTTCAAATGTGAATGAAGACCTTGGACAGATCAAATACATCTTTAGCGACAAAACGGGAACGTTGACGAAGAATCAAATGCTTTTTAAAGTGTGCAGTATTGGTGGAGTCATCTTTGATTCATCGAATATGCATCTTCGTCGGACAGCACAAGACATTCACGATGATCTGAGAGAAGAGAATGACATGATGCTCAAGTTTGGTGCAGTGATTGGTGCCAACCGAGAAGGAACTGCAAATAAAAGACAGCCATCGAGTTATGTATCGGTCGTCGACAAGGATGTTCGAACACACTCTCAGCTGATAGAGTTTATGAAGAGCCCTTCTGGATTGTCAACGAAAGATAAGCTTGCAGTGGAGTTGGCTCGACCGTTCTTTCGATGTCTACTGCTTTGTCATTCTGCCTCAGTGTCGATTGAAAAACCAAATGATCAGACTCATGAACGCAGTGTAACTGGTCGAACATCAACTGACAATGCCGAAGGAAGTGGAAGTCAACGTCAAGATGGTGAAGTCAATTCTTCCATGAGTCAATCAACCGAAGCTACAGACGCATTTTCATTCCTTAGAAACGACCGCAAGTTTTTCGGTTCTTCACCCGACGAAGTAGCCCTCCTCAATGCTGCCCTGGAATTTGATTGTGTGTATGAACGACGTGACGGAGATGTCATTCACATTCGTTTGTTTGGCAAACCCGAATCATATCAACTGCTTGCATTGAATGAATTCGACAGTACGCGAAAGTGTATGTCCGTCGTCGTAAAGAGACTACATCAAGATGAGTCGGAAGTGAGCTTGGCGAATTCAATGCACACACAAACACGTGACAGCTTGGGGTATTCCGATTCTTCCGAAACGGATGTCGATAGATTGAGCAATGACTCGGAACCGGACGATCATGAGATCCTGGTCTTTTCTAAGGGTGCAGATACTGTCATGTTTGCTAATGCACACAAGGATGAAGATATCAGTAAGTTTGCATTGCATGTGCATTACTTTGCAGCCATGGCATTACGTACCTTGTTACTTGGATACCGTACGTTATCAAGTACAGAGTATCATACGTGGAAGTACCAGTTTGACGCAGCAAAGAAGGCTGTGTCTAACCGAGAACAGCAATGTGAAGAAGTAGCAAAACAAATTGAAAAGTCCAGCAAACTCCTTGGCGCCACAGGTGTTGAGGATGTGCTTCAGGATGGCGTTCGAGAATGCATTTCTCAATTGTCACTTGGAGGAATCAATATCTGGATGCTCACGGGAGATAAGGACGAAACTGCAATCTCAGTCGCGCACATGTGTGGACTCATTGGTCCCAAGAGCAAAATCATCATCATCAAGGGCAAGAACAAGCAAGACTGTCTCGATGAAATTGCAAAGGCTCGACGAAAGCTGAAGCGAGACGGTGTGTGGGTCCCCGGAGTAGCTTCTCAGGACATCTCGCTGGTAATTAACGGAGAAGCATTGGAATACTTGCTTGCGGACGCACTACTTTCCAGCTCGCAAGCATTGTACGTCAATGCCGATTATCACGTGACTCCCAATTCTATCCAAGCGAGTCACTCAGACTCAACCTTTAGCCACAACGATACCTTGGACGGGCTAGGAAACGAACACGATTCAAGTCAAAGTGAATCGATGTCTTCGAAGCTGGTTGATGATGTGCCGATTCCAGCAATTTTGAATACTCGAGCCGGATCATCTCGCACGTGGATCACGGATACCAATGATACCGTTCAATTGGCACACGAGTTGTTTCAAGAGCTTGCATCTCAGTGTAGAACAGTGGTTGCTTGTCGGCTTAGCCCCATGCAAAAGGCTCAAGTGGTAAGTTTGATGAAGGCAGCACCTGGCTCACCACTCACGCTTGCTGTAGGAGACGGAGGCAATGATGTCAGCATGATTCAAGAAGCTCACGTTGGCGTCGGCATTTACGGACATGAAGGAATGCAGGCAGTCCGTGCTGCTGATTTTGCTATTGTCACGTTTCTTCATCTCTCTCGACTTTTACTTGTGCATGGACGTTGGAACCATCTTCGAGTTGCTCGGGTTATCTTGTTCTCGTTTTACAAGAACATGGCGTTGATAATGACGTTGTTCTTGTACTCTTTTTACAACGGGTTCTCGGGGCAAACATTGTACGAGTCTTACTTGATGGTTGGATGGAATGTGCTGTACACTGTCTTGCCGATTTTCGTGCTTGGAATCCTTGATGAAGACATTCGAGATCGTGCTGTGCTTCGATATCCGTTTGTGTATCGAAGTTGTCTCAAGAAAAGCGAGCTAAGTATTCAAGGACTCGGTATCTGGATCGCAAACGCGCTGTTTCATTCGTGTCTGGTCTGTTTTGTGGTGTTGAAAACGATGGACGGGGTATCGTCAAAGTATAGTCATGCTAACGGCCTTTTCCCCGATGGGACTGCTGTCTACGGAGCACTGATCATCACTGTAACTTTGAAAGCTTCTCTCCACATGCAATGCTTGTATCGCTGGACTCGAGCTCACTACATCTCTTTACTTGGAGGGTTTGGAATGTACATTTTGTTTGTGGTGACATACTCGCAAGCGTACCGAATGTTTCCAGGTTTCGACGTGTTTCGTGATTTCGAAGGTCTTGCACCGATACTTTTTTCCGAGATGCTGTACTGGAACCTCTTGTTCTTTACATCTATCACGTGCCTCTGTGCTGACCTGGCTGTCATGTATCTGAAGAAGATGTATTTGCCTTCAAGCAACGACATCATCCTTGAGATTGATAGTGGACTTGGTGATCTTCCTGCCGTACTTGTTCGCAATGCCGATAGATCCACTGGCAACATCCATGCAACAAAACTCATCTACAGTTCGTCCGATCGATCGGATGATGGAAGCTATGCAGGAGGTGGGAGTGCAGCTGGAAGTGCTCGCTCGTCAAACGGAAAATGGACACCATCGCTTCTCGAAGGCGAGTGGAGTCAACAGTTTCGTGATTTCGACCAACCTTCCGAGCACGATGAATTGTCGAAACAACTCGTCTTGATACAGCGTGATCTTTCTCAGGAGATCGGACACCCGGACCCTTTCATGCAGGAAGATGATGTACACAGCTCACGAGCATTACGGGTGCAACCACCCATTCACCCTTTGACACTGGAATTTATGGGCGAGGAACATCAACGTCTTGAAATGGAATACGAGATTACGTTTGCCTTTCGTGAGCGCAGTCGTGTCATGCTATGCTTGAAGGTTATGGCGTTCATGATTCCCCTTTACGCCGTTTACGAATTGTTCTGGGAAGAGGAATCGATGTACATTTGGATTCGCGTGAGCTACTTCGTGTGCGACTTGTTGTTCATGCGCTTTGTCCGTACCAAGTACTTTGTTCAACACTACCAAATTGCGATTCTGCTGCCTTACTGCATCGTTGGTATGGTCCTTACGCTGACAATCTCAGATACAGGCAAATTCGCTGCAGCTCTTTATCCAGTTGGGCTTTTCGTGGTCATCCGCGTAAAGTTTCTCTACGCATTGCTGCTCTCGATGTATAACTTTGCCTTCTACATGCTGGCGGAACGATTGTGCTCAATGAATTATAGCAACGGTGTTGATATGTCCGATCTGATGCTCTTCGCCCTCTACTTGATGCTCGTGATTATCTTTGGAGCATACGCGTGCTACTCGCTTCAGATCACCATGCGACGAGATTTCCTTCAGAGTCGATCACTCCTCATTGAACAGAAGCGTTCAACTCAAATTCTCCAGAATATGCTGCCCGAACACATTGTTCAACGCATGCAAAAGGGTGACACGTTGATAAGTGAAGACGAACAGGATGTGACGATCCTATTTTGTGATATCGCTGACTTTGCTTCCTTCGTAAACCGCTTCAGCCCCACAGAAGTCGTTTCTCTTCTCGATCGAGTGTACTCACTCTTTGATCAAATTTGCCAGAAACATGATGTTCGTAAGATGGAAACGGTTGGCAAAACTTACATGGCTTGTGCTGGTTTACAAGGCAAAGATCGAGGCAGAGAAGCAGCACTTCGTGCTGTATCAATGGCATTGGATATGTTGACCTGTCTTGAGAAATGTCGTGCATCGAATGGCAATGGCATAAAGCTTCGTATCGGAATTCATTCGGGTCGTGTTGTGAGTGGACTGGTAGGCATCAAGAAGCAGCAATTCTCGTTGTTTGGTGACACTGTAAACACGGCATCGCGCATGCAGTCGACAGGTGTAACTGGACGGTGTCAAATCTCTCACGTTACGTACACGAAGCTTGTTAAGCATTTCACGTTTGAAGAACGGCAAATTGATGTAAAGGGTAAAGGAAGCATGAAAGCGTACCTGGTAGGCGAACCGATTTCACAAGTAGCACAAATGTCATGTGTCGGTCAGTTGGAGCTCACTTCTGAGCATGACTTGGTCTCGATGCCGTCGTTGGCAGTAAACGTAAGCTGCCCATTTGTCGTGACTCGAAACCGACTACTACGTTCGGCAAAACAGGGCTGGAAAAAACATAATCCGATTCGCATGCTGCTTGGAAAATCACCTGATCGAACTTCATGGGGAGGAACCAAAGACACGAGCGAGAGGATCGAGCAGCACATGCTTACGAAGATTCGATTACCGGATATGTGCTTTAAGGATGACGAGATGGAAAGCAAGTATCTCGAAATGACACGATCCGATCGAGTAGATGGAGCACGCACTACTTTCCTCGCTTTGGCAGCGTATGCTTCATTCACTTGTATGCGCGATCTCGTAACGAAACTTTTCTCAGTATACAGCTCGTATGAAGATCAGGAAGATATCTCGCCGAAGATGTACATGATCCTGTTACTTTTTCGGGGTCCATTTGCAATCGTAGCGATATTGGTAGCACGGCGTGTCCGTGATGAGTTTGTCTGCTACTCGGAGACCAAGCTTCGTAATGTGCTTCTTGGGTTGTATCTCGTTGGACTCCTCGCATTTACGTTGGCTCAGGCACTTTTGTGGGGTCTCAGCTACGAAGCAGATATCGATACGTCACCTCGCTACGTGAATTTGTGCTTGGACACAGTGCTGGCGATGTTTGTCGTTTCCAACGGCCGCTCGATCTTGTATCGTCATGTGGTCGTGTTTAACGCCATAGCTCTGGTAATGGTGACTATCACTACACTGGTATCTCTGCAAAGGTATCATCAAGACGCTGCAAAGTTCAATTCCAAGTTCAAAACGAGCTACCCGATAGTACTCACGTACTTTTCAGTGGTGGCGAATATCATCGCATCACAAAGTACCGAGTTCTTTACACGGCGTCAAATCTGGCTCAAGACCCGTACTCAGCTGGAAACCATGAACGCTGATCGACTACTGTATCAAATGTTGCCAGCCGCTGTAGTTATGCGACTAAAAGAGGGAGAAATGGTCTGTGACGAGCATCAGCAAGTGGGAATCCTGTTTTCAGACATCAAGGGGTTCACGTCTATCGCTTCACAAGCTGCTACAGCTCAAGTTGTCGACATTTTAGCCTCGCTCTTTTGTGCGTTTGACAAGCTCACTGAAAAGCACGGTGTGTTTAAGATGCAGACCATCGGTGACGCGTACGTGATTGTTTCAGGTCTGCCGTACGCGGACATGAGTCTTGGTTCTGATCTAGTGACAAATTCCGCTAGTACTCCAAACATGTCAAAGGTAGATGCTGCGTCAAGTTTGGGGCTCACATCCACGTTGCCTCGGGTAGCTAGCAACCGTGTTCTAAACTGGGAACGGAAGCATGGCGCAGTACGAAAATTCGGTGATACCCCACAAGGCTCAGACACGAAGCTGAGATCGTTTCTACTGCAACGAAATGCGTTGAAAACCAAAGATCAAATGCATTTGCGCAGCCACATCCGTGATCTGCTTGCTATGGCTCGTGACATGCACCAGGAGGTGCGTAAAATACAAGACCCAAACACCGGTGAGCGGTTGCAAATGCGTATCGGCATCCACATTGGTTACATCATTGGTGGTGTGATCGGAACGACCACGCTACGTTACGACATGTGGGGTCCAGATGCACTCACAGCCAACGAGCTTGAATCCAATGGCGTTCCTGAGAAAATTCTTGTAAGTCCTGCTGTGCAAGAAGTCGTCAAGGACATGGCCGATATTCGTTGTACGCCCCATGGCAAGATCAATTGTACGAACGTTCCGATGATGGACACATATCTCGTCGATTTCATTGAGCCGGTCGGAAGAATCAATGACAACAGCACCAAAAGCAGTGGAAAATGCGATCTACTTCGACCAGCATCTAGCTTTGGTGACTTGGATCAAGGCAAAAGACACCATGATAACCCCCCACGTGAGCACCATCAGATAGTTATACAGCTATCGAATCTTCGTTAAGTGAGTAAAACACTTTTGCCTTGTTCATGACAGTTGAAGTTGTCGTTTTGGGCCGTGATGTACCACCGACTACTCAAAGTCAAGTGCTAGACATATCTCCATCATGATAAGTTGCTTCGGATCCGACCCAATGGATCAAATATGCGTACGCTAGGGATGGCGGCTAGTGCATGTCATCTGCACTATGTCGAGGCACTTTCCAGGCTTGCACAGCGTTTTCTTGGCGATAGTTGGGTGCAATAACTTGCAAGACCCGTCAGCGCGCGCTTGATGCAGGCAAGAATAGTTGTGGGGTTTGCTCATTTCTTGCCCGACAGGAAAAGAACGAATGCTGGAACGAACGAAGAGAAAAAGCGCCGTCGCCAAAGCGACGCGTTCAAGGGTAAAAGGTATCCACCGTATAAAGCTACACGTACCAGTGTGTCATACATTCTACAGCCATACGAACCACTGCCGCCATCCAGAAGGTTTTACAAGACTTGAGTGCTGCTCATTTCTGGCTTCACTGAGGTTGTCGAGATGCGGCTGCTTTTGACACCATCTGGGACCTGGACGTACGTGATAGTGCTTTGATGAGCACGTACGGACGTCTGGATTCATCCAAGCCGATAGAAGTTCTGCCACACGAAAATGACCAGCCTGAAGAGCAGCATGGCGTGCTTCAAAAAGACAACCGCGAATTGAACACCGAATCAATGCGTTGACACAATCTACGTTGCCTTGTGCAGCAGCAAGCTCAAGAGTAAATTCATGCGGGCCCTCCTTCCTGTGTTCGCCAAGAAAACGAACAACGTCTGCATGACCGTTAATAGCTGCGTTTGCCATGGCGTCCTTTGTACAACCTTCGACTCGGCATTCTTGCAAATATTTTACGATTTCCAAGTGGCCGCCACTTGCAGCCATGTCCATTGCGTCGGTCGTACATGGTGCATTTCCCTGCTCATGAAGAAACTGCACGATCTCGAAATAACCATTTTGACAGGCAGTATCCAATGCTTTGGAAGTGCAGCCATCCGAGCGGTTTGTTACCAAATACCGAACAACGTCAAGATGTCCTCTCCATGCAGCACCATCGATTGCTCTTGTTGTGCATCCTTCGTTTCGGTTTTCATGCAAAAACGTGATAATTGACAAGCTTCCAACAAGCGCAGCACCGTCCATGGCATCCGTCGAACAACCTTCCTTACGCTGAGCATGTAGAAACTTTACCGTCTCCAAATGTCCACTACGAGCTGCTTCATCCATGGCTTTCGTCGTGCAACCTTCGTTGCGATTATCATGGAGAAAACGCACGACTTCGAGGAAACCTCCAGCTGCAGCGTTGTCCATAGCGGCAGTCGAGCAGCCTTCTCCACGGTAAGTGTGTAGAAACATCACCATGTCAAGGTGTCCATTGCGTGCAGCTCCATCCATAGCAGCAACAGTGCATCCTTCGGTCCGTTGAGTGTGCAAGAACTGCACCACCTCCATGTGTCCGTTTTGAGCAGCACCATTCATGGCAGCAACAGTACATCCCTCCGTTCTATGGCGGTGTAAATACTGCACGATCTCCAAATGTCCGTTCGTAGCCGCGCCATCCATGGCGTCTTGCGTGCACCTCGTCAATAACCTTCCTTCGTCCTCTCTGTCCAGCAAAAACATCAACATCTCCATCTTCCCCGTGGTCGCCACCAAGTCCACAAGTCTTGGGTCTTCAAAGCCATTCGTCGCCAGCTCTCTCTCCTTTAAGAAAATTAACACTGGTACGCTAGATCGACTCAGATCTTCCGCTTGAACGTTCCTCAACGCCGACCTCGAAAACTTTTCAGCTACCCACTCGACAATCTCTACTTTGGATGTCGACTCTAGTACCTCTGAGTATCTCACTGCCCACCTCATCAACATACTCCCTACTGTTGTACTAGTTAAAGCCTCTATCCCATTACTACTGTCTACTCGCAGCATCCCTGTATCTGCCAAGTACTTTAAAATCTCGAGATGTCCAAATTGAATCGCACAGCGCGTGGCCCCATCAAACGACAGCTCTGGATGCCGCTGAAACCTCTTAGCAGATGACAATCTCTTCACATGACGAAGCATTTCCATATCTCCCCGTTCAATTGCAACACGTGGTAAAGCGCCAATGGCAGACCATGGAACTCGTCGATGAATCCGTTGAAAATCAGCGACTAGTGACACGACGGAACCCGGAACACCGTCAATAAATTCCATGAGTAGACGAAAAAGAGATCGGTTGGTTAGAACTACAAAAGCAGCAGTGGATTCCATGCTAGAAGGCGACAAAGGGTGTCGAAAACAACACCAACTTGAGAAATGCTCGTGACAATTAAAGGGGTTTTTATAGAGGGGAGGGGGAGGTACGTTTGGTGAAAGAAACAGGACGATAAGCACCTGTCCAGGACGGTAATATATATAAATGATCCTTGAGTTGCAGTTGGTTTGTGCAACTTATAAAAATAACTTACCGGAATTTTGGGAATAAAAACCTGATGCAGACTGTGGATCAGTCTTCCAGTATCAGCGTGTCGTTTCGTCCGACTGATATGGACATCAGCTTAATGGCTAATGAGGTATCACCTAGAAGCTATGATAACTCATTGCAGGATTGTACACGTGAAGAAGAAGCGACTCATGAAGCAGAACAATTTAATTTTCACGCGTACGACCAAAATTTATTAGTAAAATGCTGAAACCCTAATGTAATATTGCAATATATTGTGATATGGTGCTAGGTCTTTTGGGATCATGACTGGACGGCGATTACAACGTCGGTATCGAGGCGTGTATCAGAAATACTCATTGGTGACCCAGTTGGTCACGTGGCTCCTTGTCATTTATATTATTGTCATATTCGCAGCAGGTGCTGTCAACAATTCCGGTACGAAATATCACGTTAGGGTTTTTTGTATTCTTAGGGTATATCGGGAACTCCTGACATTTGTTATTTGTGTTATTGTCATAGACACGGATGGACAGGCATCATTATCGGACAGTACTTTTTACTTTGTAGTGATTGTGCTTGGTCTGTACATTCTCGTCAAGTTGGCATTGATTGTGCGATGGATAATTTACTGGATTATTTTTGCTGAATTGCTAACGTATGCAATCACTGGTGATCTGTACTTGTTGTTCTGGAGTGGTGACGATGCCGTGACAAATACGGATCGACAAGTGCGTTCTGTCATGATCATTGTCCTCGTTTCGGTCGAAATTCTTACGGTAATTACGTATGGTTTCACACATTATGTGTATCCATGGATGGTGCTTGGTCAGAAATTTGATACCCAGGGGTGGTGGAATATTAAACCCGGTATCGAGACCAACACGTTGACGTATCGCTCTAAAGCGCGCTTTTATACACGAAAGCGCGACGTAGTCAAGTACTGTGGAGGACTGAATGCACAAGGTCAACCACATGGATACGGCATGTGGACTGACACGGGGTATCATGGCGAGAAATTGACAGGACAATGGGAGAATGGTGTCCCTATTGGCCCATTCCGTAGTTTTGAGCACGGAAGTGGTTATTCATTTGTGAACATCCGTGTCGGATTTTGCCACAACCGAGCTGAGAAGGGGTCTACAGATATTTTCTTTTTTCCAAAGCACTCGGAGAACGGTTTAAACTGGGGTGTAGCAAGCGTGGAGTGCTCTGTGTCAGGCGGGTTTTTCAAATACTTGCCTACAGTGACGCACTTGACGCCATCATATGTGGATGGCGCTCCACTGAATGCGTCAGAATGCCTTTCAGTGCTGCGAACTCCGACGGATGATGTTGTGTTTAACCACAACGAAAAAGTGATGCTGGAAGGACAACCTCACAGGAAACAGGTCACTAAGCGGCATTTTTTCCGAGAAGAGTCTGCACCTGTGCTTAATTTACCTAGCAGCAACGAGGACGACGGTAAAGAAGCATTGGTGCTGCTTCACGGCTACAACTGCTCGCTCGATTATGGCATGAATCGCCTCGCACAGCTTCTTGCGCTTGGGGACTTTCCATCATTCATTCACCCTTTTGTATTCAGCTGGCCTAGCGGAGGTGTGCTAGCGTACTTCCAAGGTGAGCATGTTAGCGTTTTTAGTGTACATTGATTGACCCATGTAACGCCTTTGTATCTGGATGTGGCAGCAAAACAGACTGGTAGTGAAAGTGAACGCACATCGCATGACTTCGTTTTGTTTCTAAAGAGCTTGATTGGTGCCGGCTACACAAAGTTGAACATTATCGCACACTCCATGGGAGCGCGTGTTTTCTTTGGCTCCCTTAACAAAGGGCTCTTTGATGAGGTTTTCATGGTGCGTTTAGCATCTGTTTACTTTTGCAACAAGAACCGTGCTTATTGCATCTGATTACTTTCGCAACAAGAACCGTGCTTATTGCATCTGACGTCACACGAATGTATGTATCAATGTCTTTGGCAGGCTACTGGAAGCGTTACGGATATCAATCTTTCCACGAGTAAAATGGAGCTCTCGACGCTCACATTTTGTAATCCGGATTACGATCGAAATGAGTTTGTTAAATACGGAGGAGGGTATGACCGTGCACGCCAGTTCTGCAATCACATTACACTGTACGCGGACAGTATGGACGGCGCTTTGTTTTATTTGGAATATCTCTCGAAGACTTCGATCACGGGGCCGCTTAATTACTCGCTAGGCAGGCGTGGACATATGATCCATCGTGACCCGGAGGACAATGAGGTTGCAGGGCGATCCGACACAGAGTTCCGTACCTGGCAGAACAAGAATTTGGCTGTACCGCTAGATTTGGCTTACGCCGCAGTGAATCAATGTGCACAGTACCCTGGCGTAACATCATTCGCGTACAACCGGAGTCGGATACCTGCAAGCAATGACGAGTCCGCACCTTATGGCTCTACACGGGGTGGCACTAGTGAAGAAGTTCCACGTTATTACTTGGACATGGATGTGATCGACACAACTTGGATGGATAACAATGTGCACGCGATTCGACACAACTATTTCAACCTTAATCCAAGTATTGTACGTATCCATCATGACCAGGTCATCATTGTGGTGAATCGTTGTGCTAATCTTGAATATCTCGTGTAGGTAGATGATCTTCGCCACTTGATTGTACTGAAGAAACGTGCAAGTTCCCGTCCCGGTCTTCTTAAAACAACATCGGCCGAGAACGTCTACATTTACCTAATAGCACCGTCCCACATCAAGAACAAGTGATCATCAGGCTTAACCAAATCTCCTCTGGACAAGCTGTTGTCTAATGATGATACAATAGAAGTGGCCATACGATACCCCGTTCATTATTCAAGTCTTGAGACCGACGCTTTCAAAGCATTCTCACGAGGTTATTTTGCTTGGTCGGTAGCATCACCTTCACACGTTTTTCTTGCATCACAACCATCTCATCTGATCCACACGTGTCTCCTCTCTCGTTTGCATTGCTAATTATTCTTGCAAACACTCTGTAGACGTCACAACTCGAACCTTTCGCGACATCTTTGGCTTTAGAATTCATTCAATGGGACGGAATATGACGTCCTGGAAAACACCCGCAGACTCTCAAGATGTCCATCACGAGCATCATACCAAGCAAAAGGACGTCCTGATTCCTTTGGTATTGTGGAATGAACCTCCTCGAGTCCAAGTGTCCTCTTTGCATGTCCTCGAGCTGCCACTATCTCAACCAAGTCAGAATTCGTCCTTTATGGTCAATGACAAGAATGATGGAAAGCCAAAGAATGAAGTGGACAAGGACGTCGATACTTGCACTCAACTGTGTGTATTTGCAGGAACGGTAGACGGAGTTATTGTCTTTTGGAGATTCGAGCAGGACAGTGTAGCACAAGTCAATATGCTCGTGTTTCCAGGTGCTGAACGAGGTGGAAATCCCGTGGTTGGGCTTGTCAGTGGCATTAACGAGTGGGGACAAAGCACGTTAATCTCGGCTACAAAAGATGGAGCGTTGGCGAGCTGGCAGCTTCCTAATGGAGCTTGTGCTGAAGCCAATGCTTTACTGGCTCAAGAGTTGGCTCCGCTATTAGGACTCGAGATGTTGTGCAATAGACGGTTTGCAATTGTTGTAAGTGAGGTCTCGAGGCTCATGGTGCTTGATACGTGGAGGATGCAGCTGCTATATTGCATGGACACAGCGCAGGAGCAGATTCGACGGAGTATTGCAGTTGGAGAATTGCCAATGTCAAGAACAACGTCACAAAGACCGATCTTGGTCAGGTCAAGTAGTGGATCAAACCGAGAGAGTGGGTATGACGGCGCAAGTGTGGATCAAGTGACGGATAGTCCGTCAGGAAGAGGACGGATATCTCCGTCTCGATTGTCTCTTGCAGGTCACACGCTAGACGCAAAACGTAGAATGAAGTTTAATCCGTCAAGTGCAGCAGTGGAACAGCAAACTCAAGAATGGGATGCAGTGGTGCTTTCATTGGGTGCTGAGGGACTTGTCAAGTGTTTCTTGTGGCAACAACCCAGAGGACAACCATCAAATGGCACGTCGTTTAGTATAAGTGAAGGTGGTGGATCTGCGAGTGTTGCGTGGGGATTTCGGTGGGTTCAACGCAGCAGTTGGGTCATTTCGTGGGCGGATCAAGCGGAGGACATTACGTGCTCGCAAAGTACATCGTTGAAAGACGGGGACAACATGAATCCGCAAACTGCTCTCATGGGCTCTATCAACAACAGCTACTTTCCGCTCTCTGTGAAGGTGTCTCCAGATTCATTCCTCGTACTTTTCATTTGGAGAACGAAGTTTGTAATACTCAAGCGGAATTGGTTGTGTCCACTCGAATCCCGCAGTGATGGCCAAGCAAACAGGGACTCCTTTCGAAAACTCCGATCAACTACCACAATTGGAAGCTGTCGCATTCCTCCGGCAGAGTTTGTACGCCAGGCAGCTTTTACGTATGGAAATGAACACCCTACTTTGTGCAATGCAAGCGGCAATTGCGAACATATCTACTGGGAAAGTGGCGATTTCTTGGAAGACAGTAACATCGTACTGTGGACCAACACGGGACATGTATTCCAATTCATGCCAGCTGAATTGTCTGCAGATTCTGGTGGAAAGCTTTTTATTTTCACGAAAGACCAAGATCAATTGGTACCACGATCGGACTCAAAGGAGCTATTTGTTATTGACAAGGCCGTGTATATTACGTCGATGGATCGCTGTAAATGCTGCAATCTCATTGTGCAGAAAAATGAATGCTTACACACACAATCAAGAAAGTCAATGGCTTTACTACCAGCACAACGACAGGATCCAGGATACACATTGTGTATGAAGACTGGTTCTTCATTCTCAGAATCGACACTGCAAATTGTCCACATGTGCCATCGCGGAATATTAGGACACTGGACAATGCCAGCAGTACGAGTGTCATCACCAACGCGTATATTTCAGAACAAGAGCAACATCATCGCATCACGAGTACCGCTGGCTGAACGAGTACGCTTTCACTCACTCACTGATGGGTTTGAAGCAGCAGAAGTAGCTGCTCGAGGTGAAAACATCGATAAGGAAACGCGTTATGCATCTCAACATCGATGCTGCTTGACGCACTTTATTCTTGGAAGGGAAGAGACGCAGTCAACCTCGACATTTAAGGAAGTATGTCGAGCTGAGATGCGAAGCAAACGGCGGCAAGACCTTAACTATGCATTGAAAGATCCAACAGGAAGCAGGGTGCCAGTCACAAACACTACGGCAGCAGCTATAGCCAGCAGTATGCTAGCCACTGCTTTGACAGGACGAGAAGGACCCCAAGGTGTTGTAAATGAACTCGGACAGCCCGAAGCCGATGGGAGGGAACAAAAGGAATATGAGCACTTAGAGTATCGGTATTTGCTGGACATTCCTATTATTGCCAAGGGATTCGCAGATGGAATGCTTTACATCGAGTTGCTGAGCCAGGAGCACTTGTCAAGTAGAGCTGAAGAGTCCTCAATGAATACAGCAACACGACTATCATGTCATTCTGGACGAGTGACGGCACTGGCGCATTGCGGCTGGGAAGTTAGAACCACTTCAACAGCTTCATCTAGGGGTTCTTCTCCTACTAGTGCAAATGAGACGCATTTCGCAACGGAGAAAAACCCTTTCTACCGGTCACGCTTTCGTGATTCTTCGTTGAAATGGAACATCAGAAACTGGCAAACCAGTAGGAACAGTGGCAATCACACGTGTCGAAGGTCACTGACGACAAAAAATTGGGACGGCTCAGAATCAAACAATGGGCCACCTCCCGACAGTCCAAGCAACCAGCCTTTGATCACATTTATGCTATTCAGTGGAGGTGCAGACGGTGTCCTGCTCGTAATCGAGCTAACCTTGTACCATTCGGCTAACGGCTTCGTTCGGCAACAAGCAAATATTCTGCAAAAGTTTCGGAATCATCGCGGTGCGATCCAGCAGATCAGTATATCACCACTCAAGAAAGGCGATGGGGAAGACTGGGGTGCCAAATACCCGGATAGATTGGTTGCAACGGTGGGAGCAGATCGCAAAGTTGTCATTTATGCTCCTCAGTACATTCGACACTCTTCATTACGCCAGTCACGTGGTCACAAGTCGCCGACGGAATGCACTGACGGTTGTTATAGTGCTGAGTGGCAATGCGTACTAGAGCTGTCGGAGCATGCCGACTCAATTTGCAGCCTCGCCTGGCATCTAGAACGTGGTTTGCTCTATGTCGAATGCAATGATCGGATGGTGTACGTTTGGAGCACTGACACTGGCATTCTAGAGCGTAAAGTTCCGTATGCGCTAGTTTACGGTGGTGGCAATGCGTCAGATGAAAGCTTTGCTGACGGAACAAATGGTGTTGCTGGCTTCGTTGCTATCAATCGCACCTTACTTATTGGCAATGCAGCCGTGCAGCTCCTTGAGTTTGGCGTTCTTCGAAGCGCAGAGCAGCTCAAAAAGAACTGGACAAGTTATTACGCTTCACTATCCCCGAGCAATGGCACATCTGTCAACTTACGTGAGACCGGCCTTCAGTCTACACAAGCTTCCATGTATGCAACAGGCTCTATGGAGCTATTTATGCTCTCGCTCCTGCTGTCATGGGGTGTCGCTCCTGCCATTGATCAGTCGTGCCGTACCATATTAGGAATCGAACCAGCACACGCACTCTACTCGTGCGCACTGCAAGACTTCACTTCGGGAGCGCTGACAATACCTGTGCCATGGTCAACCCCAAAAGTCTCAGCGTTGGCTGTAGCTGACCCTTCATTAGCTTTTGAGAGTGAGCTTAACAGGGAGATGATGCCTGTTGTACCTGCTTTCGCACGAAACTGGCAGCACTCATCGGCCTTGTCAGCTAGCATAGCACTGGGTGTTTTATCGCTTTGTATGAGCTGCATGGAATTTAAGCATCCCAAGTCTGGCAACGGTGGCATGTCGCCCACTAACAAGGAAGAATTTCAAGTTTTGTGGAGTCAACTAATCACACAGCACTCGGTTGTGCTACCAGAGTGTGTAGCTCAATTCCGCGAACCAGCTCTCGAGGAGCTTGCTGCCTTTGGGTTCGACTCCTGTGAGTACACACAATTAGCAGCACGTACGTTATTAAGTGGCGTGATCAAGCGCCTTCCTGCGGCAGAACGAATCATACTTTCAGCAGAGTATTCGGCAAAACTTCATTGGGAAATGGTCCGTTTGGAGACAGAGATAGGAAAACCTTTCCTAAAGACAATTGGTACGGTTGGAACCAGTAGCGGCACAAATTCGAGCTCTCAGCCAAGTGGCAACGGTGTTAGTGCGAGCTCCGACTTAGGAGCGAAGGCGTTTTCGTTAGTGGTTGAACGTCTGGGCTCGCTCGTGCTCCTCACGAGTACGATCGGCACGTATTTCCCAGGCGAGATTTCACCGGCTGCTGCGCGTGAAGTGTGCGACATATTAGTGTTTCTTTTAAAAGCACCGGAGCGGTTCGTGGCGTCGGTGTCAGCTGAGCTGCTTACGAAAGGACTTATGTTGTTCAGACCACATCTTGTCGACTTGTCTTCACTAATTGTCCAGCTATTGGTGATTGATATGCGTGAGAAACAACGTCGCGCCAAGAGCAAAGATAGTGAAGAGGTATTTTCTGGACCAGGAGGATCGCTTGCCAACTTTCACGATGGTGGAAGTGGCGGAAGTAACGCAGCAATGAGCTTGTTGGTCGAGGTCGGTGCTTACGAATCGGCTTTTGTGCTTGGACTGCTGCAACAAGAAATGCACAATCATCGACCATCCGGTTTTCACACGAGTATCCTGTTGTACATGATGGAGCTTGTCAAGACCCACTACCTGCTCATGTGTCGACATCTGCCAGTATTCGTCGATACGATTATGGTGTGCCTGGACCCAACAAAACCCGACCGTCGTCGCCATTGTTTGTCACTAAGTACTCGGTGTCTGCACAGCCTTGTGCAACGGTTTCCAATGGTGGATTTCCACAAGGACACGCAGCGCTTGGCACTAGGAACGATGGAGGCTGTAATTGTTATATACGATCTACGCACAGCCACAAAGTGGCGGGTTTTGAATGGTCACGCATCAGCTGTCTCGGCTGTCCGCTTTCGATCCGATGGACAAGTTTTAGTGTCGTACGCTGCTCGAGAGAGCAGTGTTCGGTGGTGGAATAGCGGCAATGCAGGTCTGTTTGGTGGTATGCTTCAAATGCATCAGTCTTCCTGTCTCAAGGAACACAAACTCACTGCGTTAAAAGAGACTTCAATGGGTCGTGCCTCATCAGTGTCAATAAGTGGAGCAAGTCCTGGCCTGAAACAAATGATTCAAACCTGTCGCTTCCAGTTTCTTCCACGAGGAATAAACAGCTCGAATGATGATCAAAGCAGGAATTCCGAGCCATCCAAATGCATTTTACGGCTCATACGAGAAGATGCCAGTCAAGTGCAGTTCCTGCTATGAAACTATAACTTCAACAGATGATATCCATAGCATTTTCTGGAAAACCATATGGTATACAGGAAATTTCTACTCGTCCCGCTTGACACGACCCTCTATAACACGATATCATCATTGCAAGCCATTAGATGGCTACAGTATCAGAATTCCACCCATGGGTCGACGTCAGAAGAAGGTTGTCACTACCAGGGCCAAAGGCTCATCCCATCGCGATGCAGATGAGGAAGCACTTGAAGCTGCACTCCAAGAGTCACTCGAGTAAGTTTTTTCACTCGAAAAAGCATGCACATTAGCGTTAAAACAGCATCTAAACCCTTGGTGTCTGATTCTCTTTAGATCGGACTTTATGATGGCAATTCTCCACTCGGAAGATCAGCAACGACGTCAACAAGAGGTTTCAATTCAGGACATTCGAGTGCAGCTTGGAACGGGGTCAAATGACCAAAAATTGGAGCAGAAACAGCAAAAAGAAGACAGTGGAGGCGACGAGGAAGATGACGACGATTTGAGGTCGTATTGTCGTCATTTTAGTGCTGGAGTAGCCATACAAGAAGTGGAAGAAGATGAGAAAGAGGAGGAAGAAGAAGAGGACCCTAATGAAGACCATAAGTTGCTGAACTTTGCCGATATTCTGCTCATTGACATCCTAAAGTGGCTCGACGAAGATACTATCGGATTCTGCTCGTGTACGTGCAAAAGGCTGCTGCATGTGGCTCGTTCGGAGGTGCTTTTTGAAGCAATATGTCGACGCATCTTTCCAGTGCAGAACCCGAGAGCTGCGGTGGCGGTTGCACGCAACAACTTCAGGCTGCGTTGCTTCCCGACATGGTTTGACATGTTCCACGACAGACCGCGGGTGCGGTACAATGGATTTTATTGGCTCAAGGTGGTGTACTACAAGAAGCCAGAGCTGAGCATGTGGACAGATATTGTGCCGGGCACGATCCTTAAGTGCATTTACTACCGCTACTTCTCGTTTCAAAGGGATGGTACCGTGCTGTATGGCATGCTCTTTAAAGCGCCACATACTATCGAGTCGCACATTCGCAATCGGCGCAAGGGTGTTTACTGTGGTAAATTCTACGTTAACAAGGATGAGCTAGTAGTGACGGTGCCCACAAATTGCAACGAAGTCAACTTTAGACTGAAGATCACGCAACGTGAGCGCGGCAAGAACGTGAAGTTGGTTTTAAAGGAGCATTTTGCGCATTCCGAGCCTGATGGCAGCGGTTCGGTGAACTATTACGATACAGCGGGCGAGGAGTTCTACTACTATCGTTCATGGAATCTTTGACACCGCTATGCGTCTGAAGAGTTAGCGGTTTGTCTTCAATTGACTGAGTGCTGCGTGGGAGAAGCTGGTCTTAGAGTGCTTTGTTATGAATAGCTGCTGCGTGGACAACAAGAACCCTGCCGATCCTTACGATTCGTCTACGCAACAACAGACAAGGCCTTGAAACATGGTATCAATTGTGGCGGAAAAATGAATGGTTGAGCGTGATTACAACTCCAGTGAGATTAGCAGCGGTAACAACAGTACAAACAGTGGCATGAGCAAGACCCGATCATCGCAATTACAATCAAGTAGCGACAAGTTGACACCACGACGACGTCTGACTAGAAACTCGACAATCCTGTAGTCAAGCGAAACTGAAAATACAGCACCGCGGCCATATCAGCTACTAACTTGACATATGCTCTTTGTGGTTCCAACAGGACCATGAGTAAAGCGACAGCAGGTTGTAAGGTATCCTATAGCCATTGAGCATATTTTGCAGCCTCGAGGGCATAGAGATACTATCTCAAACCTTGCCCAACCGAAGTGAATCGACCAAAGAAACGAAAAATTCTCAGTCCTTGAAGTCGATTGCTATTGCAGTGAGTCGACGCTACCGTGATGTTTAACATTGATTGTATCTGTAAAAGGTGGTGCTTGCTTAAGCCAACGTGCATCTGGATTGATCACTTCAGTTAAACGAGTGTGTATTCTGTTGCTACTGTACGACATCAATACTTCGGGTGCTTCCAGCAGGATAAAAACAAGTAAGGACTACAGATCGCCGCCGTTATCAGCACCAGTAGCGGCTTGACCAGACATGCCACCGAGAGCACCACCCGAGCCAAATCTACCTTGACCACCAAAACCTCCAGGACCTCCGGCACCGAAAGATCCGCCTGGTATGCCCCCGTTTCCACCAACGCCGTTAAAACCACCTGCACCTCCGTTGCCACCGGGACGTCCGCCAAATCCGCCCATGCCGCCGCCGAATTGACGACCGAGACCTCCGGCACCCATTCCTCCGAATTGGCCGGCACCTCCTCCCATTCCTCCGAATTGACCTCCACCAATTCCACCAGCTCCACCAAATGCACCACCGTTAGCTCCAGCTCCAGAAGCACCAGCACCAGCACCAGCATCACCAACACCGGCACCAGGTCCTCTAGGTGTAGCTCCCACACCGTTGCTAGGTCTGCCGCCAGGCATCGTCGGAGCGGGAGTCACAGGAGCGCCATTGCCAATTCTGCCGTTGCCTCCCGTCGCTGTACCAGCAGGACCGACACCTCCAGCGCCAGTCATGAGCCCGTTCGTGGTCCTGCCAGCCGAGCCGAACGCAGCGCCGTTGCCTGCTGCTCCGATGCCAGCACCGAATGCGCCGCCAGCACCGATCTGTCCAGCAGTGTTGCCCACTTGATTAAAGCCGCCGGCACCACCGCCAAACTGACCAAAGCCACCAGCACCTGCAGCACCACCACCCAGACCGCCACCCAGACCGCCGCCCAGACCGCCACCCAGACTACTGCCAAATCCATTGCCGCCTCCGTTTGGGCCGCCCATTCCACCGCCAAATCCATTGTTATTGCCCGCACCGAATTGCTCACGGCCACGTGCCATCGGGCCCATGCGCATATCGCCACGGGGCCTCTGCGCGAAAACATCACCGTTGATGAAAGCCAATGCCGTGATTGCAAGCGTTAGCCGAGTTGTCATATTGATCAAAGAGGATTAGATTGGAAGAACTGTTACAGCGATTGCAGTGAGAGTTTGAGGTTTGGACAGATAGTTTGAAAGTGAGAGGCTGGTTAACTCAAGTATGCGTGCTAGTGTCAATACTGCAGAGACTTACCTGTGGCGAGACTAGTTAGAATCTCTCTGTTCAAGCCTATCTCTTAGTCTCTAAAAAATGTCCATCAAAGCTAGTCGATGGCAATTCTATTTTGCTTTCTCTGACAGACGCTGAACAAGATGCTATACAGTAATTGTAAACGCAATGCACCTCAATCACCTCCCACTCTCTTAGGTAAGCTCGGAGCTCCGTACAGCTATCAAAGTTAGATGTTAAGTCACAAGATGTCGTCATGTGATTGAGCTTCCATCGGGTACAGCTTGAGCCATCAACATGATTGTCGTATGAGTTCTCTATCTGCTCAGTTACTGTCCACTACAAGCTGGCATACATGTATAGCTGCACTGCCGAATAAATGGTTGTTATTCTTGCTTTCATGATCACCTGAGGATACGTGCATCTGTAGCATTCAGATGAAGTAGGTAATAGCATTAGAAGCCAAAAAAGTAGGAAGCGCTTGTTTCTCGCTCTGCATTGGAATCCCTAAAACTGTCCTCGAAGAGATGCTAATCGACTAGGTTTACTGACTAAGATGATAAGGTGGATGGATAGTAAAGAGTGAGTGATCTACCCCTAAAGACAACTGACAGGATGACATGGTTCATTCTTTCCAACCTCCCAGATTTTCACTTTCAAACTATCTGTCCAAACCTCAAACTCTCACTGCAATCGCTGTAACAGTTCTTCCAATCCAATCCTCTTTGATCAATATGACAACTCGGCTAACGCTTGCAATCACGGCATTGGCTTTCATCAACGGTGATGTTTTCGCGCAGAGGCCCCGTGGCGATATGCGCATGGGCCCGATGGCACGTGGTCGTGAGCAATTCGGTGCGGGCAATAACAATGGATTTGGCGGTGGAATGGGCGGCCCAAACGGAGGCGGCAATGGATTTGGCAGTAGTCTGGGTGGCGGTCTGGGCGGCGGTCTGGGTGGCGGTCTGGGTGGTGGTGCTGCAGGTGCTGGTGGCTTTGGTCAGTTTGGCGGTGGTGCCGGCGGCTTTAATCAAGTGGGCAACACTGCTGGACAGATCGGTGCTGGCGGCGCATTCGGTGCTGGCATCGGAGCAGCAGGCAACGGCGCTGCGTTCGGCTCGGCTGGCAGGACCACGAACGGGCTCATGACTGGCGCTGGAGGTGTCGGTCCTGCTGGTACAGCGACGGGAGGCAACGGCAGAATTGGCAATGGTGCTCCTGTGACTCCCGCTCCGACGATGCCTGGCGGCAGACCTAGCAACGGTGTGGGAGCTACACCTAGAGGACCTGGTGCCGGTGTTGGTGATGCTGGTGCTGGTGCTGGTGCTTCTGGAGCTGGAGCTAACGGTGGTGCATTTGGTGGAGCTGGTGGAAATGGTGGAGGTCAATTCGGAGGAATGGGAGGAGGTGCCGGCCAATTCGGAGGAATGGGTGCCGGAGGTCTCGGTCGTCAATTCGGCGGCGGCATGGGCGGATTTGGCGGACGTCCCGGTGGCAACGGAGGTGCAGGTGGTTTTAACGGCGTTGGTGGAAACGGGGGCATACCAGGCGGATCTTTCGGTGCCGGAGGTCCTGGAGGTTTTGGTGGTCAAGGCAGATTTGGCTCGGGTGGTGCTCTCGGTGGCATGTCTGGTCAAGCCGCTGCTGGTGCTGATAACGGCGGCGATCTGTAGTCCTTACTTGTTTTTATCCTGCTGGAAGCACCCGAAGTATTGATGTCGTACAGTAGCAACAGAATACACACTCGTTTAACTGAAGGGATCGAATTCAGATGCACGTTTGGTGTAAGCAATACGATGATGCATTAGACTTAAGCTATGGCATTGTTATGACAAATCATCACACTCAGACCGACAGACAATAGAGGCTGCGTTCAAGATGGTACAACAATTGTGGCGTCATGTAATGAAACGCCATGCTGTCTACTTTAGCGATATCAATCTCAGAGGGTAAACCTCCACTCCCTTTCAGTACTAGCCACGGTTGAGCTTTCGTGAAAATGTTCTCTTGATTTAGAAAAGCTTTTGTCCATTGTGATCGTTTTCTCCTCTGCATTGAAGTTCTACATCGCTTAAAGCGTTCGTTCATCTTTCGATTTTGCTTCCATCATGATGTGGTAGGCTCGTAATGTTAAGGACTTTTCGAGCTCTCTCAAGCTCGCAATGCTTCCACCTCGTATTTCATACTGAAATCTTGAATGAAGCATCGACGCCTTCAAATGACCCTCGGAATAGGTGCACTTGGTTGTTGCGTTTACAAGCTCAATGATAGTGATTGTATTAGAACGCCGCTGTGATGACCGTCGGTTTGGAGGACGAAGTAGCAGAACCAAAGGGAGCGAAGGTTTGTCGTTGCAAGTGCTTGATGAGGAGGGTGTGTATACACTGCCTGAGCTCATGACGAGGTTACGTCCACCGCAGAATGAACTTGACCGCTGACTACTGCACACCCTTTCCAATGAGACGTAACGTTGGATGGTGTACGACGATGATAATTCGCGCATGGTTGCTGGGAATGCGACAAAAAATGCGGGATCGACTTCCGTCTTGGGCTGTTCACCTCGTTTGCTGAAAATAAAGTTCTGTCGGCGTGACTTCCAACCAGATCCAGGAGCTCAAACGGGAGAAATCGTATACAATGGCGAAGAAGACAACGACCAAACTTTGCATGACAGCGAAATGACCGTGATATATCCGTTGGACCAAAGCGTAGCGTAGTGAGCCGCAAGTCTCGTCGTGGCGATTTCTTGGCCCAAAGTCCACTAGCATAAAATTAGGTGGTATTGTGCTGCCGAAGATGCAATCAAGCAAGTCAACTACTTCCGACACTTTTTCTGGTATGCGCACGGGCGGCACCACTGCAAAAGGAGACCCACCAACAGTAACCAGAGCCAGAAAAGGCGGAAGGAACACTACTCATTAGCCCATAGCACCCCGCAAATTCGCAACGATAGACAGCGAAGCTTTAGCCAGTATAGGATCAACCACTACCAACTGAAGCTATAATAGGGTATCTAGTTACACGTAAACATTAAGTAATATACTTCATGTTTGGTCTAAAAGTATCCATGATTACTTTTGACCTGTCACTTGGGTGCGATACACAAATGTGATCCACCCTCGTGAATGTGATATCCATTGATGAATTCACATGAGAAGGGATGACGCTAGCTGAAGCTAGGCATCACGACGTCTCAGAAGGACGTCAGTTGCGATCTTAAATCTAGATTTAAGATCATGCGACAGGATACGCTTCTAAAGAGTCGCGTATCCGATCTATATATATATATAGCCAATCAGTAGTTAAATATATATTTAGTTATAATTAATTAAATATATCTCAGTCCTGAATTTACTTAAACATACACACCACGCACGAGAAGTTGAAAGACTTCTGCGTGACGTCGGTGTTTTAGTGTTAAGAAGTTCGTTGCACTCTCGCTTAAGCGAGAGGAAACTGGTGGTACGACTGCTTAAGCAGTCGACAACCTCCCAACCACCCTCGCACGCGAAGGTAAGACGTTATAACCGCTTCCTCGCTTGTGCATAAGGTGTGTGCTCGTAGTACGAGGCAACTTCATAGAAGTGCCCGTCTACACTTGGTATCACTAGTAGTCCTTCCCACGACCCGTCTCTCTGAGCGTGCGTGTGGTTGACATGGTCCTCAATATGGACTGGAGTGACTTCCCTCACCTCTCCCAACATCATAGGGAGTTGGCAGAGCATATGGCGCAGGGACTTGGTGAACAAGCCCTGGTCAATCTCTTGCATTGTCCTCTTGAGCAACATGTTGCTCAGTTGAGCAATCTGAGGCGTTTGTGCTCGGACAGCGTAGAAACGCGTCCGAGGTAAACAGCCAAGCCACCGCTGAGTCCATCACTAAGACTCAGGATGAGCTTAGGCTTGAGCAGGCACGTAATGAGGCGCTCAACAGAACTGTTGAGACGCTCTCTGCCCGGCCTGCTCAATTGAGGCCCATTCGGATGGACCCTCCGAAGGTCGATGGAACTAGCCCTCACACGATTGTTCACTGGCTATTAGCAGTGGAGCAATGTGGAGTGGCGCAGCTCATCGAAGACGACACCAGAATGGTATCGTATGCCATGTCCAACTTGCGTGACAAAGCGTCAGAGTGGGCATACTCTGCGCTCATGGCAAACGCTGATGCGTTTCCATCATGGTCAGTCTTTAAAGGCAAAGATTCGCGCCATGTATCAGCCGCCTAACAACGAAGTGTTGCTTATGGCGCGCTTCTTTGGAGCACGACAGGCGAAACGCTCTCTGCAAGAGTTTGTGCAGGGATGCGTTCGCTGTCGGCATCCATTAATGGGGAACCGATACCAGAGCGTATCAAGGTGGCCACGTTCATGAATGGACGTAGGCACGGCCCATCGCGTCAGGTCCATTTTACAAAAGTGACAGCGACGATGGAAGAGACAATTGACATTGCCATAATTGAGGAGCAATCCTACAACAGCACCTCGGCGACAGCCTCTTACAGTCCTTCAACCGAGAAGTCTGATGCCACTCCTATGGATTTAGGCAATGCAGATGTGATCTACTACAAGTGCGGCAAGCGAGGCCATATGATGGCTCGCTGCTATGCCAAAGTAGCTGCTGGTGCTAAGGCAGCCAGCAAAAGGTCGCCCAACACGAAGGGAGGTGCGAAAAACCAGCGTGCACGACGCACGAGTTCAGCACCTGCCCAAGATGGGTCGGGAAATGCGGGAGCGCAGTAGGGGCGGGATGCCCTACTGTCGCGGACTCTGAAGTTACCCCTAAGTTCAGAGTGATCGAACAAATGGGTAGCATAGTCCCTGAGGTTCCGAAAGGTCGGACCTCAATTCTTTTGGTCTATAGCGCTCGAGTACGAGGCTATGACCAAGTGA